CGGCGGGGCGCCAAAACTCAACCGAGGGGGGTCCCTACGGTCCAAGGCGCACAAAGGCTTTCTCATTTAAGATTATTTCACAGACGCTACAGACCCTTCAGGTACCAAGAGTGCAATTAGTTTTTGATTTATTATTTTGTTCTATGTTTTCTGATTTAAATTTTGAAGTTTCAACTCGCGTACTAATTACAATCACTAGTGAGCCCCCTCTGACACTGCTCTAGCCAAGCTCTGGCGTCGAGCCGGCGAAGCGACTGGTCGGTCGGGACGACGCGGCATCCGGGACGCAACATCCCGTCCCGTCCGACTCGAATCAAACGGCCCCGATTCTTCCCTCGCGACACGTGTCTCGTTACACGTTTATGGCCGCGGCCAAAAAATTTCACCTCGCCTATCCCGTCCTTTCGGGCCGCCAATTTACGGCCCGTTTACGACGCCCCGCCAATTGGCAGGCCGTGGCGACGGGTCCACCCCACGTCGCGTCCCTGGTGGATCGGTCGGACGGGATCCGGACGCCAACCGTGGCGTCCAGGTGGCGTCCAAAATGTTTCAAATAGGACCGTTTGTGGACTGCGTCCCTGCGAGGTCCACCGGCGTCCAATTATCGTCCAGTACGTCCGCGCAAGGTCCATAAAGGGTCCACAAAGGGTCCATGTGGGTCCTTTGGGGTCCGTGGGGGTGCGTGGGGCGTCCATACTGCGTCCGTTGGGGTCAGTGTGGCGTCCATACTGCGTCCGTTGGGTCCCGTAGGGCGTCCGTACTGCGTCCGTACTGCATCCGTTGGGATCCGTGGGGCGTCCGTACTGCGTCCGTTGGGATCCCTGGGGCGTCCGTACTGCGTCCGTTGGGACCCGTGGGGCGTCCGCGATGCGTCCGTTATGGTCCGCACGGCGATATCTAACTGGGGCCCAAAGGGCTCTTATAGGCGCTTATGGACGCTAACGGACGCACTTCGGACTTTGGATGTGTGGACCCATAAGGACGCACTTAGGACCCTGGTTGCGACCACTCGTTGGAAAGGTCTCACCAAGACCTGTTCGAATCTGCAATAAAAAAAAATTGTTGGTCACCCCCCTTTTTTCAAGATACTGATTTTTTAACTCTATTTTGAAAAAAGGGGGGTGACCAACAATTTTTTTTTATTGCAGATTCGAACGGGTCTTGGTGAGACCTTTCCAACGAGTGGTCGCAACCAGGGTCCTAAGTGCGTCCTTATGGGTCCACGCATCCAAAGTCCGAAGTGCGTCCGTTAGCGTCCATAAGCGCCTATAAGAGCCCTTTGGGCCCCAGTTACATAACGCCGTGCGGACCATAACGGACGCATCACGGACGCCCCACGGGTCCCAACGGACGCAGTACGGACGCCCCAGTGATCCCAACGGACGCGGTACGGACGCCCCACGGATCCCAACGGATGCAGTACGGACGCAGTACGGACGCCCCACGGACCCAAACGGACGTAGTATGGACGCCACACTGACCCCAACGGACCTAGCACGGACGTACCAGGGACTCTAAGGCAAAACTCAAGCGGCGTCGCACTTCGGACCACTAGCGGACCTTTGGGGCGGACTGGACGGACGCACTGCGGACATATCCTGGACTTCCATTTTTGACCGGCTTCGGACCCAAACGGACTTACCAGGGACTCTCAGGCAAAACTCTCGCGGCGTCTCCCGCCGGACCACTGGCGGACCCTCTGGTGACCATTCACGGACTTCAAGGACGTATTGCGGACTTCGTAAAGTTTTCTATGAAGTTTGGCGGACGGCAGGTGACCCAATGCGGACGCTTGACAGACGCTGTTTTCTGTGCGTGGACCAAGCAGACGCAGAGTGGACCAACTTCGGACTCGAGTGGACTCCGAAAGGACGCTTGGGACCCTTATCGGACGACGTGAGACCGTGGACGCGCCGGGACGGCGAATGGACTGAAGGCTCCGGACGTCGCAGACTACAGCAGGACTGACTGTGGACCAGGAAGGACGCACTGGACTCAGTTCGGACTAGTTATGGACCCCCCAGGACCTCACGGACGGCAAGCAGACGCCATCTTTGCGTCCAGATCGGGTCCGAACGATCCACCAGGGGTCGCGCCGCGCCGCCTCGCCAGTGACCCCGAGAGCCCCGAGACCGACGACCCGGCCGAGGAAGCCGGCGGCGCGACGCGGCGCGGAATCGGACGATTAGGCGGCGAAGCGCGCGCAGTGACGAGAGTGACCCGGAAGGCGCTCTTTGTTTGGGCCGGCGGGCGTGGTGCCGCGGAGCCTCGGGGACGACGCCCCTCTCGGCCCGCGGCCTCGGCCACCGAAAACAAGACCGGGCCAAGCACGCCGTGCGCCTCTGCCGCGTGCTGACGTGCGACACCAGCCCGGTGCAGCCGCGCCATTAGCGGCTTGTTGGGCCGCGAGAAAGAAAAGCATCCGCCAGCCGACCGTCGCCCCGTCTCCCTTCCACTCATACGGAGCAACCTCCGAGAGCGAGAGAGACGGGGCGATGAAAGCGATGTCGGGAATGGCTCCGCAGCACGCCAGTGCACTCAGCCCGTTTACAGCCCTCCGCCAAATCCGCGGACCGAACCGGTCTAAATGGAGAGCACACTCCATAAACTTCCGCCCCACGACCACCTCGGCCGGCCGACGGCCAGAGCGGCCAGAGCGCGGCTCTAGCCGCCACGCCGGCGCAGTCCCTTGTAAGGCAACCCGGCCCGGCCGCGGCCTGCCCCAACCCCGTGCAGCCAAGCAGCCAGCCGCGCCAAGACGCCTTCAGCCGCGACCGCGGCGAGCGCGCCGAGCACCGCGACAGGGATTGTCCCACGGGAGGTCAAAGGCGCGCGAGCCACTCCGCGGCCTCTAGCCACTGCCTGGCCGGCCTGCCCCCGACTTGCAGACATGCAGCGCCGCGACGGGCGTGGCGTGGCGGCCAGCAGCGGCGCGGCAGCGCGTGGGCAGGACCAGGCCTGTATCGGCAGCCTCGGCAGGCAGCAACAGACTCGACCGCCAACAACTCAACCATCCCGGACCCGTCTTTCTTTCTGAAGGGCTCGCTCCTCGTGGCTTGCAGTGTCCGGGCAGTGCCCGTGGCGCGGCCAAGAGCGCGACGGGGCGGCCGGCCAAGCCCCCGCCAGTCACCGCGACCTAGACAGCCTCGCCGCGGTCCGCCCTCATCGACGGGCAACGTCAACAGCCTCGACGGCGCACTCAGGAGCGACCGCTCCGGGCTGCGGCAGAGCGACTTCGTCCGGTGGCGGCGCCGTCCCCGGCGGAGCGTCCACATAAAACAAGCGCGGCGGGGCGCGGCGCGGCGGCGAGGCGAACCCACGAGTGCTGCCGCCATCTGCCCGAGCGCGCTGGCCGTGCCGGCCGCGCTAGCGAGCACTAAACACGACGAAGCAAAGTGGTGGCGATCGTGCAAAGGCTGCAACTCACGCACCCCGCGCACATGGCCAGCCCCAGCAGGAAGGCCCGCCGGATCCACTGCAGCATCCTGGACGAGGAGGACCCCGGCGTGGACCACGTCGGGGCCCACGACGAGCCCCAGGGCCGCCCCAGCCTGCCGCCCTTGACAACCCTTGGTCCCTGCCGCCCTGCGGCGCGCCTGCTACTGCCTGCTACTGGCACCTCAAGTGGCTACAATGGGTACCCGCCAGACTCGATGGTGCTGCTCGCGGACAAGAGCCCCGCCCTCCGCGGCTGTGCCAACCTCGCCACCCGATGCCCAGTGCACAGTGCCCAGGTAGGCGCGGTCGCAGCGGCTGTCGCGACCCACACGCGCCGCTGACCAGCGGGACCGCGTCGCCGCCACGACCCTCTCGACGGGCACCGAGCCTCAAACGGCTCCGAGCAGCGGCACGCGCGGTCGCCACCACTTGCCCGTCGTTTTTCGGTTTTCATCGATCACGTTGGCACCCGACTCATTGGCATCGTGGTGCTGGCAGAGCCGCGGCAGAGGCATGGCAGAGCGGGCCACTCGCTGGCATCACACCAGCAGACGCAGCCATACCTGGCCCAGACTCGCGCCACTCGCGGCATCCGCCGGGCGTCTCCGTCAGGGACGGCGCCACCCGCCGCACGGCGGCGGGTACAGTGCACTCTAATCCAATTAGCGGGCGAGGGCCGCCAAGGACTGCCGGGCGCGGCGGCGCGGCGCACCTTGGTCCAGCCCAAGGACGGCCACTACTCCGTGTCCCGCGCGCCGAACTTCCACCACGCGGAAAGACACCTCTGGCCGCCAGGTGGATTCCGGGCAGGACGAACAGGGCTGCCCCTCTCGTCGCGGGCGTCGCGCGTTGCGGTCAGAGAACCGAAACCGGTCCGCCGTGACGTCACTGCGTCACTTTGAGGCGTGCAACGCAAGAATGCAGTCCCGGGCGCGCGCCCCGCCTCTCCACTGCGCTCTGCCCGCTCTGCCTCGCCGAACCCCCCCATTTTCGGGTCCCACAAGTTGGAGCACTGACCGAAGCGAAGGCCGCGCTGGGCTTGCAGTGGTTATTCCAACATCGACAGTACGCATTGCAATTCATCCAGGAAGAGAGGCTTCCCTAGAGCAAAATTAAAAAAAAAATCGGACTTGATAGAATAACATTTCTATGCAGACCTCCGCTCGCCCTCGTTTTGGCGAGGCGGCAGAGTTGGATCGACTCACGCGGCAACGGGTTCCTTCCCGTTTGGGATCGAAATAGACAGGCAGAGGGGGTGGGGAGGGGAGGGGACGAGTCGCCGGCAAATTTGATCGGGTCGTCTTGCGGCCCGATACGGTGTGGTGTCGCTGCCAGCATCGCCAAGGCTTCGGCCAAACACACTCCAAATCCAGAGCACAAAATGAGTCCCTCCGAGACGCTCTGAAATGTTCAAATGATTCATGTCTTCTCTTGGAGGACGAACCAATGGACTGGCAATCCATCAACTGCGGTGCCTTGGGAATAGGAGATGGTATGCAGTACTCGTTCAGGGACAAAGTCAGCAGGGAGAGGGGGTTGTCAACAAAAAAAAAAAGCAAGTATCTGTTTTGGTGTGGACTCCCAGATCCTGCCTGGTGGTCATTTTTTCCAACGGGCACACCCTTTATTGGTTGAAATTGGATTTGATGTGGTAACCTTATGTCACAGAGAAGTTTTATGGTTCTGAACTAATAGAACTTGGAGAAAGTTAGGCGAAACTCAAAGAGTGGCACATCCCCGCCTAAAATATGTTGCAAAGCAATTAAGAGACTCTTGGGCCCCAGGCAAACTATTCTTTAAAGTCTTGAACTCTTACTCCCCCAAAAATCTATAAATTTACTTTAAAAATTCCTAGATTTTAAAAATAATCGATAGTTACGTTTAACTATATCTTGTAACCAATACCCATGACCCGTCGACAACAACAAACCACAAACCTGCAGAGAAAACAAAAAAAAATCAATGTTTAGTCCAAAAGTTACAGTAGCGGAGGGGAGAGGAGGCAGCGGGACTCGATCCCCATTCATTTGGCGCGACAGGCAGGAATCGACTGGAGCCACTGGAGCGGCCAGCCCGCCTAAGAAGCCCGGCCCGCGTGGCGGCCGTGCCGGATACAGTGGGAGTCTATCTGCGCGTGCATCGAGCCCCGCCCGTACGCGCCGCGTCGCGCCAAGGACGCCCTCCAGGCTGGAGGCAGCTGGAGCAGCTGGAGGCAGCCGGGACTCCAGCGAGACTCGCGGAACGGCCCGGCCCGGCCCGGCCGGCGCAGGACAGCGACGCGACAAGTCGCGACTCCTGTTGAGGTAGGCCTGGTGGGCAGCCCGCTTGGGCTGGGCCCCGCCAAGCAAGGCGGCACCGCGGCAGACAAGCGCTTTCGCAAGCGCGTGGCCACGGAGCGTGGCGCGTAGCGCGTCCCTCCAGGACCAGGTGGTGCATCCACTCCATCCACTCGGCGCTCCATCCGCAGAGGCTGCAACGGCCCGCGCGGCCCTCGTAGGCGACAACACGACACAAGGCGGCCAAGGAGACGCGTCCCGTGGCGCCCCGTTCCAGTCGCTGGAGAGGAACTTGGTCCCAAAAGAAGCGAGGGCCAACTACCAACCCCGGGAGGCCGGCCGGACCCCGCGGATCCATCGGGACCGCTTTGCACCGCTCCGGGAGAAGCGTCCGTCGAACTCGCCGCCCACGAGGCAGAGCGCTGCATTGGTTGGTTCGGCCAACCCAATGATGCCTTCGGCTTGAGCACCAGTTCGGTTCGACCCGAACCGAAGACAGTTCGGTTCGGGTCGAACCGGGCGAACCGAAGACCCGTTCGGCATTTCGTCTCCTTTTTCGCGGTCCCTGAGAAGACGGACCCACTCGGACCGTCAGTCGGGCCAAAACCTTAGTTGGGTCGAACGACACCACTTAATTCGAAGACGTCTGCGCATTTCTGTTAACAATTTAAAAAGTAGCCGAATCCACCCGAGTGCGCCCGAGTGCGACACCGATGGTGCTGCTGCTCTGCGGCATCTCTCGGAACCTCTCGACGGTTCTTCCGAACCAACCAATGCAGCGCTCTGCCACGAGGGCCATCGCGTTTCCCACCATGTATCACTCCAGCAGAGGCCTTTCCAAGAAGCTCGCGCTACGGGTGAGCCTCTCGCTCGCACGCTGCCCCTGCGCCCCAACGCCCCCGAGCCATCCGGCCGGTACCCACTCAGCGGACCAATGGCCATAACCCGGCGGAGGCGAAACCCGACCCGAGGCAGCGAGGCAGCGCGGCAGCCGACCAGAACCGGCGACCGTGCCAATACCGGGAGGGGAAGGGGAGGCATAGGTGGTATTTCTGCCCGTTTGCGGAGATGAGTCGTCCGGAATGGATGGCCGGGACGGCCACCCGGCTTGGGGAAAAGCTGCCGGTCGGCTTGGCCCTCGGCTTGGCCGGGACGGGCCGCGCGAGGACGTGACGCAACGCCGCCACACGCGGCACGGCGCCCCTAGAGTCGCGAGAAAGCAGCACCGCGTCGACGACGCCGCGGGGCGTCGCGGGGCGTCGCCGCGGTGGCCATCCTCACATCAAACCAGCGCGGCGGCCCCATTCCAGTGTTCCAGCGACCGGACCAGCCCGCGGCGTGCGGCGCACAGGTGGTCGACGCCAACATTTCGGTTTCTGGTGCACCGAGAACGATCGCCGTCCTCCTGGGTAGAGTGCCTCACCGTATGACGGTTTGCTGCCGGCCACGGCGGCACAGCTACTGCACTGATAAAGCCGAGCCCGCGGCTAACAGATAAGAGCCAGCTGGAAGTTTCTTCCCCGACTGCCACCGAGCTCGAGCCCCTCGAGCCCTGGCGCCGGGCCTGCCTCCACCCAGGGGGTCTTGCACGCCCCACGGCGGCTTACCCGAAACCACTGTCCGACGTGGGGCAGCGTTCGCGGCCTTGGCGGCCTTCGCGGCCCGCGGGCAGGTCCTTGGTCCCGGACGCGCGGGCGCTGCTGGAGCTGGACGCGGACGCCACGGACGACGAAGAGCTGCTCACGGTCCTCATGGCTGCGGTCCTCTTCCGTCACCACAGTCACAACACATGCCCTGACGTCCCCTCCAGAGCCACGGGGCAACGCGACGCGAAGGCAGCCTCTGCCTTGTTCCGGCCGGCCAGTCACTGGACTCCAGGAATCCAGGGTCGGGCCAGAGCCAGTCTGCCAGTCGCAAGGCTCAGCGCAGACTGGCGTGCCGCCGTGCCGGGCCGGCTGGAGTGGAGTTGGAGCGGGGCAACACGCAGCGCGACGTCCCTCCCTCCTCCCTGCCCTACGCGGACGCAGCGGGCAGCTAAGCGGGCAGCGGACGGCCGCGCGGGAGGGGAGGGCGCGAGCCGCGAGCCGCGGCACTGGCACGGCGGCACGGCCCCGGCCCTCCTCGGGCCACCCCGGTGCCGAAAGGGAAAGGGTCAAAGGGTCGCCGCCGGCCAACACTGCCTGCCTGCCCGCCTGCACTTGCAGGCCCAGAGGGCCCAGAGGGTCCGAGAGCCCTCGCAACCAGAGTCCCACTAGACCACCTCCAGGACTAGTTTGTTTAGATTGATTTAATTTATAAGGGAGAAACGCTTTAAGAAAAATTAATAAAGAGTATACATGGGTCATAGGGCCGCGGGGGGCGGTGCAAAACCCTCTCCTTTATGCCCCACTTCTCACTACAATGTACCTCAGTTGCTTGTTACACTGTATTCAACATTTAAGAAGTGAACACTGGCGAAAAAATACACAAGAATAAAAATGTACCCAGGGTAAAATCGTGTCTCTGAGGATATCATAAAATGAGGAAGGACTTCACCGGGGCTACAAATGGATATTATGTCCCTGGTTTCCACACTTCCCCAATAATCCCCACCGGTAGCCGAGAGAGCGGAAAGGAACAAAGAATCTGTTTTCTTACCTGTACGAAGCTTTGTAAGGACTGTCACAGATGTCCACATGGCGGTGACGTTTCAAGGCTCGCTCATGGGAACTGGACCTTGAATAGGATGGGGTGCGGCTTCGTGATCTTGAGCGAGATCTTGAAGCAGTTCTGCTGTGGGACCAGCTCCTTGAATAGTGTTTTCTGGTGCGTGGCATCTAAACAACACACAATTCAAACATATAATGAGAAATAATGCACAAAGCGTCCTGATAACAGGATTTCTAAGGAGATAAGCAAAATGGCATCGACAAAACTCAATACTTAATAAAATTGGTCCGTATCTATTGTGAAGTGAGCTACATACGAGCAAAATGAGTTCAGAACAAAATTGTTGTGTCAGGGGAACTAATAGAAACAGAGGTGCAATTTGATACATCTAGACAACATAAAATTTAAAAATAATGAGACATAACGCACAGAGCATCCAAAACACTCTTAACAGGACTTTTACGGAGATGAGCAAAATGGCATAAAATAAACTTAATGCTTAATGAGGCTGGTTGGTATCTATTGTGAAGTGAGCTACATGCGAGCAAAATGAGTTCAGAACAAAAACGTAGAGTCAAAGAAACTAATAGAAACAGAGATGCAATGTTCGACATGAAGCCAAGAGTGTGGAACGTGAAAGGCAGGCAGTTTAAAAGTCTACCATAAAGTCTAGCAAAAACTAACCTAGACCTAACCCAAAACAAAAGACCTACTGGCAAACAGTAAACATGCCACGGTTCTGTGCACAAGAGATATCGCAAGCTCGGACCAATAATAAAATTTAAAGAAAAGCGGCTGATATAATTTATGTAGTGAAGGAGAAGAAGTTTATAAAGATTCGATAAAAACCTTAAATAATGTGGTCTGTACGGTAAAGTACGACGAAGTGTAGGTAACCGCCGAAACTTCGTCAAACATGAAACCGTCAGGAACTGTATCACGCTGCATGCGCCCAAAATAAATTTCCCTCCAACTAGTGTCAAATAATCGCAGCAATGTGCGATTTACCGTTGAAATCTAACGCGTTACGGTTGCGAAAGAGTGCGACAATATTCTCTTCACACAAGGAGATCCGCCATCTTTGACTACCACTGAAGCCGAGCTGCCTGCCTCACGCAGCGCAGTGGCCGTGCGCCGTCTGTTTTAACCACCGCGTCGCCAGAAAACGGCGTAGTGACAACCAAATCTACTCACTTTAACAAACATTAAAGGCACCAGAAATCAAAACATTCCGACGGGCGGCTACAACCAGGGGAAAATACAACACGTAAAGAGAAACGAACGAACAACACGGAAGATCGATGTTTTTTTCTACTAGAGCGTTGCGGAAAAGAACGCTGATTGGTCGGAGCCCTTGTGACGTCACTTTCCCTCCACTGTCAGCCTGTATGAAAAATTAGTCTCAGTATCTTAAAAATGTTCTAGGGGATTCTTTAACTAGAGACAGATCAAAACCGTTCTTCAAAATGAGTTTTTTTTTTTAAACAATTCTTTATGCCTGTATGAAAAATTAGTCTCAGTATCTTAAAAATGTTCTAGGGGATTCTTTAACTAGAGACAGACCAAACCGTTCTTCAAAATGAGTTTTGTTTTTAATTATTAAAACAATTCTTTATTGAAACGTTAAAATAGCAGTAGAAACAGAAGAACACATGCACTACGAAACATTGTAAAAACAAGTTCAAATGACATCGAAAAAAAAATATGATTGAAATAATAGAACAAAACATGGTGTTACTGACTACTATAATATAACTATAATTTTAATGTAACAGGAGTACTGTCAAAGTCCATATTCTGTAACTTTACATTCATATTTAAGTTAACATGGCAAGAAAAAATTGAGATCAAACATTTACTCCCAGCCAGCATCTTTGGTATTGTTATTTTTAAATTAAAGTACATAAAATGAGAACACAACATTTGTTCCAGTTCCCTCCATAGAGGAAAATCAAAATAGGAAATTAAGTAAAACAGCCTGGAGTTATGACTGATACAAATGTTATTTAGGCTGCATTACCACATGGTCTCTTGCTAGACTAGATATGATGGTGAACAAGAAGCCATTAGTCTAGAATAAAATGTTTTGAATACTTTCTGTTCAAATCCTTTACAAACTCACTTTTTAAAACTTTAAGGCATCTGCAATGCAAAAGAGAAATATCATGAACAAAAAACAAGGAATTTTTGAAACCAAATTTAAAGTTACAACATTCTTACCTGCGATACTGAGTGGATCCACGGAATTTGGCAATATCAAAACTAGGAGCATGTGGCATATGCACAACAAAGGCATTGGGTAAAACCACCCATTGGAATCCAAGAGCTTCAAGTTCCATAATGTGAGAGACTTTGTTCCACCCAAATCCAACAAATCGAGTGTCGTACTCAGGAATATCACTGGCACGAACTGCAATGTATGGTTCAAAGTCTGCTTCCCACAGCACCTTGAACACCAATTCAAGATCAAGTTATAAGCTAGGCAATCTATTAAAATAGGGGGGGGAAAATAGTAAAGAAGAATGTATGAAACCTTGTAGGGAGTTGTCGCTGTCCTCCATTTAGCAAAGTTGGTTGGTGCATGTCCCTTTGTCCACACATGGTAACGAAAGGTGAACAAAGTGCCCATATCCAACATGTGCAGTAAATCAGCCTTATTTTGAGGGAAGGTAATGCGATATCGCTGCGTCTCAAAGGCTGGGATAACCAAAGCCTGTCAAATGCACATAAGAAAACAGTTCCTATTTTGTCTTGGAGCTGATATCAAAGAGAAAGGATGTCAAAGTGGAACAAACCTTTTTTTCATTTTGTAATTTTTGTGATTGAATGCTTTTTTTCAATGTTGAATAAAGACCATACATTGGCAAAAAATCAACATCGGACAGAAATACATAAGGAGTGTCGACTTGTTGAAGACCAACATTTCGTAATAAATTGACAGGATAAAAGTTCTAAAGAGAAAAATACACAAAGTAAGTCTTCTAAAATATATGTAATTTTGAACCAAATAAAAAGTAATTATACTTACTCCTTCTTTATAAACAATATGAAATCCAATATTTTTGCGGCTACTTAGTAGCTGAGAACTCAGCGCATACAACAGAAACTGTTGCGCTTCAGCATCTGAGAGATACAGAGTTAGGCTGATGGGACCTGAAAGAAATAAAACAAAATATGTAACTTCAGCACAATTTACATTTTCTTTTAAAAAGAAATAATGGAAAGTGATACAATGAATTTATACCTTCCCAATGCTGGCAAAGCAGTTCCACCATTTGTAACCTGTCCATTGATAATTGAGTTACAAGGGTTACATCAAATCCATCAGGAGTGGGTTCATACTGATAGTCAAGGAAATAGAGATGGGTGCGTAGAGATCGGACCTGGGCTCGGCGTAAATCATAGCATAGGTCTTCCTCATTTAACTGTTTTGACAAAAAAAAAACAACATTGAGCAACTGATAAAAGGAAGTATGAGGGAGATGTACGAAAAATCTATTTCAATTTTTAAATTACCATACTAAGTTGATGTTCTTTTACAGCAGACTGTGTGCTAGTATAATTGCAACCAAACAACTCTCGGCGCAATAAATTTCCGTCGTACTCAAGAAATGTTAAATACAAATTACGGAAGAACTCAACATGCTTATTTTTTACTTTCAGTTTCTTTGGAGAATTCCAGTGTATAACCTAGAAAAGAATAAAACCCTATTAGCTCATAGTTTTGGGTGTTAACACAATTTAGTTCAAAAGCGACATACTTTGAGATCAGTGACTTCAGTATAACAAAGCTCTGACCGAGTATTGTCAGAAAGCTGCACATTCCACTGGCAGGGTAGGTTGTAAACTAGGTCTGGATGGGTCTTGATTATGGCATTAAATATATCTTGATCTGCCAAACTAGTAGACAGCAACGTAGTGAGATCCTTCTCGGCAACCAGACGCCACAACTGACCCCAGCCCATCTTTCTCAGCTTTCCCAACTCCAACAGAATTACACCAGTATTGTACCTTTAAAAAAATACATTTTTATTAGAGAAATCAATTTGAATAACAGAAATAAACACAGAAGGAACATGAATGACAGTAAATACCCTCTCCCTAGTGCTGGCCAAGGGCGATGGTTTTTCCATAGTTTGCCTAAATACCAATCACTTTGATTTTCCACAAGTCCAATAGCCTAAAATGCAAACACAGATTTAAAAAATTATGAAACCAAAGAGTAAGAAGAGGATCAGCTCTCAAAATTATACCTGTTTTTCTTTTAACTGAGAAAACAATTTCCATAATTCGGCGATATCAGTTGCAAATGTTACATCTGTGTCAAGAACTATGACACGCTGTAGAGAGCTTGGCAAAACCTTTGGCAATGTGAGTTTCATGAGCCCATACACTCCAGAGTAGTGTTTATTTGGGATCCATGACACATCTGGCACTACACTGTCAGCTAGGTAAAAACTTACTTCCACTTAAAAAACAAACAAAAAATAACATCACACTTAAATTCTTTACATCAAAAGATTTTCAATTTGCACGATGAAAAAATTTTACCTTGTGGAATACTCCATGTTTGAAAGAGCTTCTGTAAGACTATTTGGGCCACAGAATCAGCCAAAAGATGAAAATGTAATGGATTTCTTCTGTAGAACAAAATTGATTTGAAAAGGGTAACAACTGATCGGCTGGCATTATATCCTGCACATACAATAGCTACATGGACGACTTCACATTTTGGGATGTAAGATTCCTGAGGGAACAGACAGGGCAGAATTAAGAATATTGGTGGGAAAGAATAATCAAACACATGGATGTGTTTTGGGAATTTTACTGCACCTTATCAGAACAAGGGCCACCAGAAGACGCAGGCACCAAACGAGGATGAAGATCAGCGCCCTGAGGACCATTGTGAGCTTCATCTAACAGATGTGATGATATTTCCGCCTTGTATGCTCCAACTTGTTGTCGCAATATATCATTTTCTTCCTGTATACTTTGGATTTTCTCCGCAAGTGCTGATCCAGGCCCAGTGCGTATATCTCCACCTGGAAGACCGTACAGGTGATTTACTCAGTAACATGTGAAAAACTTATGGAAGTGACCAATGACCATGGAAGTGACCAATAAAGTACCTTTATGATCGTTGAGAACATAGTAGAAAATGACTGCGGCTGCAGTCATTCCGAGAATGAAACTGCTCAGCCAGTGTCTAGCCACAGACCACACAAGCCCATTCTGAAAGCGCCTTCGACTAATTTTGAAAGGCAATGAGAAAGCTATCCAAGAAAACCTACCGAAAGGGAAGGTTTTAATCTATGGTCCTGTTTCAAACCAGACGACAAGGACATAACCTACTCTTGACAGTGCATCAACACATTCTATACAATGAAAGTGAGGTAGATGCGTAGGTACCTACTCAACTGCTGGATATGAATGGTATTGAGCAAAAAAGGTACTGCTGTTGCGACTAAATCAAATTTATCAACCAGGACAGAACACCTCCGCCTTCACCGCCTCCACAACAAACAAAACATTGTGTTCTGAACGGGAAATTTCTCATCGCCGGGACGCGCCAGCGGCGAAGCGGCGCGATAGTGCTGCCACCTGGAAGCCACGTTTCGACCTCGTCCGCTGGGCGCTGACGAGGAAAGGGGGGGGGGGGGATTAGGGAATTCCTGCGTGCCACGGCCAGCCAAACGCACTTCAAGTTTCAAGTTTGGTCACCGTAAACGCCGTGAGGGCCACAGGAGGGCCACCAGTCCGGACTCCGGTCAGAATTTATGGTGGTTTTTTTTACTTTCCCGATTCCTTTTGGAGGAGGAGGAACTATACCGCATAGGCAGCATTGCGCTTTACAAAGCAGCCAGCCTCAATGTCGACATATAGTCAGACCAGCCTAAGGTCCCACTTTTTGTGACCGTTAAAACTGCCCCCTCCACAGGGCCGGGGGGAGCGCGGGGGCTGGTGCGGGAGGACTTTCGCGGTGGAGGGGGCAGATTTAACGGTCACAAAAAGTGGGACCTTAGGCTGGTCTCACTGTATGTTTCCTCTAAACAACGATCATCGGAGAGAACGGCGCATGGATTCCCCATACGACGTGCCCAGACGTGCCCTGGTCCTACCAGGGTCTTACCGCGACCATCGGTGGGCAGCGCAGCTCAACACGCGCAAGCACCTGTCCCTGTCGCTTCTGTTTTGCGTCATTTCATTCAATTTGTTTTTATCTTATCACTACTGGCAATGAAGGCACAGTAAAATTGTTGCGTCTCGCAACGTAGCGGTGGGGTGGCCAGCCGCCATGAGGCCGAGGGGTGAATGACTAGTGTAGTGCTACTCATGTGTACAAATTGGCCCGTACTCAGTGTACTCACTATGATAAGAGCAAACTTCGTTCATTTCTTAGACGATTTTGGCGTTGTGTGTTGTCTAAGCCGCTAAATAAGGCCGAAAAACGATTAAAAATGTAAAATTTAAGCCTATTAGAAGGTGTACTCACGCGTCTCATGTACTCATGAGTACACTAGAGCGCTGAGTGATTCGCCTCTCGCATGAGGCTGCTTGGGAAGGAGGGAGGAGGATCCGCGGTGCATGGTCGTGTGGCGAGACGCCGCGTCGTGAAACAATCCAATCGAATCGAGTCGATCGCGAGTCGCAAATAGAGGCGTGACTGGGGGCGGCCGGCCGGCGCAGGGTGTTCACAAGTTATTACTCCGCGAGCAGCCGAAAAGTCACGGCGGGACTTGGTGGTGGTGGTGGTGGTCACGGCCCTCCGGTCGTGAGGGTCGTGAGCACGATGCCTTTTTAACGGCCCCGCGGCCGCGACGCCGCACAGTGCGGCACACGGCGGCACATCGCACCGACATGAGGTGCATCCATCCAGTCTGCGTCGCCTTGGTGGCGGCCGTCTTCGGCGCCCCCGCGGCCCTGGCCGGCGGCGGTGAGTCCAGTAGGTCCAGTCCACGCCTTTTACCCATGCCAACAAACGACCAGAAGAATTGAATTGGTTTCAGGAAACACTCTTTTTACTACGACCAGTTTCTCTACTCTCTTCGGTAATGCTAAAACTAAATCTACCAATGTTTTCGGGGGGTACGACGACAAGAAGATCATCGGAGGCGCGGTAACCGGCATCAAGAACTTCCCTTTCATGGTACGTGGTCTCACGAGGGTCCGTGAGAACTCGCGAGCTCGTTGGGGGAATTCCAAGGTCTGATCCTGTCGGTGTTTTAGGCTAACATTGCCATCATGGGCGGGAAGGGCGGGAAGGTCCTTAGCCAGCAGTGCGGGAGCAGCATCCTGGACAAGAACCACGTCCTGACCGCCGCGCATTGCTTCGAGTAGGTGTATCCTTCCTCGGTGGTGCCACCAAGGCGAAGGCCATGAGGTAGACCATAACCTCTGCGGACAAGCAAACAACCCCAACTCACACGTCTTGTTCACAGTAACCGGAATCCCAAAGTCTACCAAGTGCGCGTGGGTTCGGACTTCTGGAGGTACAAGGGACAGACGGTCGGCATATCCAAGATCATGATCCACCCCAAGTACAACAACAAGACCTTTGACTTCGACGTAGCGGTGGTCAGGCTCAAAAAGTCGCTCGTGATGGGCAAGCTGGTGGCGCCCGTCAGCCTGGTGCCCATGAACACGGCCATCAAGGCGGACACGCCCATCAACCTCATCGGCTGGGGCTTCACCGACGTGAGTGGCGTGGCGACGCGAGGCGGCGTTCGCCAACGCGTTGCACTGCATCCCTGAGCCGCGGCTGTGTTGCAGGCCCTGCACTCCAAGGCCACGTCGGGCGTGCTGCGCGCCGTCACCATCAACACCATCGCCGCATCCGAGTGCTCGGACGACTACGAGGAGTACGAGATGAGCATCACTGCTCGGATGTTTTGCGCCATGGGCGAGGGCAAGGACTCGTGCCAGGTCGGTCTCCTCACCAGCCTGACGCGCATTCCAAGTCACTGCACTCTTTCCAGAGGAAAATAACATGTTCTCGTTTCCAGGGCGACTCCGGCGGCCCGGTGATCGTCAAGAGGTCCGGCAAGCAGCAGGGCATCATCTCGTGGGGCATGGGCTGCGCCCAGATGGGCTCGCCCGGCGTCTTCGCCAACGTGGCCCACCCCGCCATCCGCAAGTTCATCGATGCGTCGCTCAAGAAGTGAGGGGCGGTCCAATCGGGAAGCAGTCCGCAGACAGACGCACGCATCGGCTGGGACAGAACAGCGCCTCCGAAGGCAACCGATGCTGCTGGATTGGCTATTCGTAAAGGTATACGATGAACAATGAAGAGAAGGGCGACTGTCTTCACCGCCTTTGCCGTAAGCCACTGCGGTGCACAATAAAGGACTTGGAGTGACTTGGCAGTAGATTTAATTAAAATAGGAGATAAGGCTATTAGGCCGGCGCCCGGCGGCGCACGCGGATGCGCGTGCCGCCCTTGACGTGCAGCGTGAGGCTGAAGATGGGCTTGATGTCGCACACGCGCCGCGGCCCGTCCTCGGCCGTGCGCACGTGGAAGCGGCGCAGCAGCGTGGCGGCCGCCGTCTTGAGGAACATCATGACGAACCGCTGGCCGATGCAGCTGCGCGTCCCCGCGCTGTGGCAAGACAGAGAGAGATGAGGGGCTGTCCGCGCGGGGCAGAGAGAGAGAGAGAGAGAGAGAGAGAGAGAGAGAGAGAGAGAGAGAGAGAGAGAGAGAGAGAGAGAGAGAGAGAGAGAGAGAGAGAGAGAGAGAGACAGAGAGAGAGAGACAGACAGAGCGCGTTGCGGCGTAGCGCGGTGCCGACCTGAACGGGATGAAGGAGTGCGGGTGGCGGCCGCGCGAGTTCTCGGGCAGGAAGCGGTCCGGGTCGAAGTCCTCGGGGTCGGCCCACACGGCGGGGTCCCTGTGCGTGAAGTGCGGCGACACCAGCACGACGCAGCCCTTGGGCAGCGTGTGGCCGGATGGTAGCTTCACGTCCTGCAGGGCAAGGCCGCAAGGGCAGTGTCAGACAAGCGGCGGGCGGGGTGGCACTGGGTGGCCCGGCACGGGGGACGCACAGTGTGCCAGAAGACCGGTGGAGGCGGCTTTTTAGCTCCAGAGTCGCTCCAAACAGGATTCGAACCGAGCGTGCGATCTCACCCTCGTTCGGAGAGCAATCCATTGGTAGGGTCACGCGTTAGGTTCGAGTCACATTTAGCGACTCTGGAGCTCAAAACGCGTCTAGAATTTTGGCCGCCTCCACCGGTCTTCTGGCCCTCTGTGGGGCGGGGGCTTGTACTGACGCTGGACGGCTGTCGGGCGTAGAGCGGCGCCGGGGCGAAGAGGCGCAGGGTCTCCTTGAAGACGCGCTCCAGGTACTTGAGCTGCGGCAGGTCCGCCAGCGTCACCTCGCGCTCGCGGTCGCCTTCGAACACGGAGTCCAGCTCCTGTGAGCAGAGAACGCCTTACAGTCCCAACCGCGAGCCAAAAGTCTCAAAAGCAGCAGAGCCCCGTGCAAGCGTCGCCCCGCTCACCTCCAGGATCCTGTCCTGGATGTCCTGTCTGATGGCGACGCAGTACAAGAAGAACGAGAGCGTGTCTGAGGTGGTGGAGTTGGCGGCGGCCACCAAGTGTTTGAGCTCGCCCGACAGCTCCTCCTTGCTCAGGGTCTGCCCCTCCTCCGAGGACAGCAGGTGGTCGAGGAAGGCGCGGGGCTTGGCCTTGCCGAGGTCCTCGTCGTCTCCCTGCCGCCCAACCTCCCGTTCCTGCTCCTGCTCCTCTTTCTGCCGCATCTTGAGGTCCAGCACGTTGGACACGAAGGTGTTCGCGATCCGCACCATTTCCTGCACAGCAAGCTCGTTAGTCAGCCAATCTGCACCTGCGCTCCGCTCGCGCGGCCAGCAGGGCGCAGAGTGCAGTACCTGGTAGTCGTTGTAGTGCCTGGAGAGCTTGAAGAGGGTGTCGAAGCGGTACCAGGGCCGGATGCCGCGGTGGAACATGAGCGTGACGCCCTGGTAGACGGCGCGCACCACGGCCTGCCGGTCGCTCTCCAGCCGGGACGAGTCCGCCGACAGCACCGTCTCGCACACCGTGTACGACGTGCACATGCGGCAGAGCGGCGACGCGTCGAACACCTCGCCTACAACACACCAAGACAAACAGAGTCGCGGTATCTTCGCGGCCAGATATCGTGTAGATACGGCTCTACTTTACGACCACGGCCGCGGGGCTCCCCGATGTGCCCGATGTCTCATGCCGATCGGCCTGGTCGGCCGGGCTTACTTTGGCGGCGGAGGAATTGCACTGTTGGCGCGGGGCGCCGCGTTTATGAGGTGCTAGGATTCAATTCCATGCCGGTTTTAGCGCCTGCGAAGCGGCGGGTAGGCAGAACGGACGGCGCGGCTGCTTGGCGGGCCAGCCTGCAGGCGAGGGGCTCGCCACTCCCCGCCTCTCCCCGCCACTGCCCAGCTTACCTGACTCGGCGAGCTCGTCCAGGCGGTCCACGAGGCGGTGCGCGTTGGCGTTGAAGCTGGGCGCGAAGCTGTGCAGCACGTTCTGCGCGAAAGACGGCGCGATGAGGCGGCGGTGGCGGCGGTAGTCCTCGCCGTTCATGGTGATGAGCCCCGCGCCCAGGCACGGCTCCATCGAGCTGGCGTACATGAGCCAGGGCTTGTCCGCCAGGCGCGCGTCCGTGAACACCAGCTGCGCACCGATACAAGTTTCAGACCGTCCGTTCCGAGCGGTGTAAAGCCAAGCCGAGAACGTCGTGAACGTCGTGTACCTCGAGGTCGTCCGGGCGGGACACAATGACGACGAGCACGGGGCCGAGCCACAGCTTGACGGTGGGGCCGTGCTCAGCGCGGAGGGCCACCAGCTTGTCGTACAGCTCCTCCTGGGGTCCGGCCACCGCCAGGAAGCTCCCGACCAGCGGGTACGACGGCGGCCCCGGCATGTCGCGCGTCGCCCACAACTGCAGCAGCACGTCGCGGACAGTGGACAGCAGCCACAGCAGGCACTTGGCCACCAGCAGCGACATCACCAAGAACGCGCCCAGCTCGAGCGCCACCATGAAGCCCCTCATGTTGACCCGTGTGCCCTGCAACGCCTGCAACAAAGGCGGTCGGTGCAGTGGCGGAGGATGACGAGCCGCCGGGGCAGCCGCCGGCGCAGCCGCGGCACCGCGCGTCGAAGCAGAGGAGGAGCCTCAGCACCAGGACGATGGCCGCGCTGGCCGCCACCAGCGCCACCAGCATGGCCTTACTCACCCAGTCAGGGAAAACCGAGCGCGAGTACGTGAATTCGCGGGCCTGGGGTCACCACCTTAACGTTCCAGCGCAAGTGCCCCGCAACGCCTTCACGCGGCCGCTGACGATTTACTGGATCATGTTTTCGATTTGCAGACGATTGGGGCGGTCGATGGCCGAGCGGGCCCTGGGCTCGGACTGCGTCACTGCGTCAGACTGCGTCAGACTGCGTCAGATTGCCTCAGACTCCCGGAGCCTGCGGGACGCTCGGCGGGACGCTCGGCGGGGCGACGCGGCGACTTGGCGAGGCGGCGACGCACAGCCCGCCTGGTCTGAAGCGCGGCCGCGGCTCCGCGGCTCGGACACGACGCGTTGGGGATGAGCCATGCGGGCCATGGACGCTATCTTGGCGCTATCTGATAAGCGTGGGTCCGGCCGCGCAGCACAGCCAGAACGCCAGAGCGGGCCGGGCGCCGCCAGCCGCTTCACCTGTCACTTCCTCTCTCCTCGCGTAACACATTGGTTCGTACGAGGCAGGCCGGCAGGCCCAGCCCGGCGGGCCGCATACATCTTGTCCCATATCGGGCGCAAAGTCTGACTCACACTCTGGTGCTAACCGGATGGCAACCGTAGTCGATGGGCTGTAGTTCGCGGAAATGAGGCATGACTAAGGACTTTTCACTGATGTGTGGCTGAAGTAGGACACGAAGGCACACCGTGTCAGCGGAATAAGAAACGCACTCCATGGATAGCAAAAGTCTTTTATTGAGTGGCACACTGGGCCCCGTCAACGGCGGGAGTCCGACGGCGGCTGCAGCTCCATCGCCACCGACGCCGTGGCGCCCCTCTCCATGGTGCGGTCGGGGAGGAGGAACGGGACGCCTCCGTCGCCTCCGTCGACTCCGGACGTCGGGTAGACGCCGCGGCGCCTGCGCCAGTCAGACACGTGTCAAAGTGGCAGTCTTTGTTCTTCCAGTTTAAAAATTGGCGCTAGTTTTCTACACATGCATTTGAAGTAAGAATTCACTCACCTGTACCGCCGGTTGGCAAGGTACGCAAGCACGGCGATGGCGGCGATGAGGGCGACGAGGACGGGTACGCCGATGTAGAGGCCGGGGTGCGCGCCCCCGTCTTTGGCCTCAACGGGCGCGGCCGTGTCGGGGGACGCGATGGACGCCGAGGCGGGGGACGCGGCGGCCGGAGTCTCGGAGTGCGCTGCGGACGCTGCGGACGCTGCGGATGAGTGGACGTCGTTGGGTTCAACACGTGGTTCGACGCGTCCCGGCGACGTCGTCACCGGTTCCTCCGTGATGCTGGGCGTCTCGGTGGTCGTTGTCGTCGTCGTCGTTGTGGTGGTGGTGGTGGTTGTTGTTGTTGTCGTAGTGGTAGTCGTGGAGGTCGACGTGGTGAACACGCAGTCGGCCTCGTCGCTGTGGTCAGCGCAGTCGGCCTTTTCGTCGCACCACCTGCACAACCGAAGCAGTGTGCACAACAGCAAAGAATCAATTTTTATTATTTTAATATTAGTTTTTAAAGAAATAGTGGGCTGGTCCGGAGAATGGAAACCGGAAAGAAAACAAAGACCTCTACGGCATCCTAGAGGCACACGCACCTGGCCAACGGGTGGCACTTGTTGTCGCAGAAAAAGGTGTGGTTGGCGAGGCATTTGTGCGGCTCGGTGCAGTAGGCCTCGTCCGAGAAGTCGCCGCAGTCCACGCGGCCGTCGCACCGCACCATGGCGCTCTGCACCCTGGTGCCGCCCGAGATGCTCCTGGCGAAGGAGCTGCTGCACACCAGCAGGTCCTGCTTCGCCTGCTTCGGCTCCACGGCGTCGCAGCCCGTCTCGTCGCTGTTGTCCAGGCAGTCCTGCGGCACCACGCGGTGGAGAGAGCCGCGAGCCGTCAGCGAAACGAAACGGCATAAAAGAAAGGAGAGTAGTGATGGTTACCTGGTTTTTGTCGCAGCGACGATAATCGGCGAAACACCGGAGTCTAAACACATGATCGCCTTTAGAGAAATGAAAACACGCCAACTCGCTGCAACTGTTGTGACACCACCTACCGCGGCACTGGCTGATACCACGGCCACTGCCTCGGGCCGGCGCGGCTTGGCGACGAGCTCCTCTTCTCCAGGCACTGGAAGGCTCCCGGCCGGCAAGCGGTGCAGCCGTACTCGTCCTCGGCGAAGTTGCAATCCACCTTGCCGTCGCAGCGGAAATCCTCACGCAGGCAGCGCCCGGAGCACAGGAACCTGTGCTCCGGGCACTTGAGGGCGTCCACGGCGTCCACGGCGTCCACGGCGTGCACCCCGAGGACGCACACGAGGCACGCCACCGCGAGCGTCAACAGCATGGCGTCGTCGGGCTGAAGCTGACCCGGCGCGGCCCGACTGGCGCGACCCTCGCGCCCGCCTCCCGCCTGCCGTCTCCCGTGACCTGGCCTCGGGCCGGAACGAATCCCCTCATTCATTGCACAACATGTGGATACATGCCACATTCGGGCGGCGGAAACGCCTGTAGGAATGTGGCAGAGTATGTGGCGAACACAGCAGAATTCTTGCACATTCCAGTACACTAAATTGTACGGTGGGTCACCGCTCGCCTAGCCAGCCTCGCCATGGCCTAGCCTACGCGCGCTTCGCTCTGCACTGGAGGAAAAGAGGCTGGCGGCCAGTCGCTGGCCGTGCAGATAGGGCGCGTATCGCACGACCGCCAGCAGACTGATTCAGAAAGTCGTTTCGTCGTTCTGTCTCTCTCGTACTCATGGGGCAGGCGTTCCCTATGGGTGCGAGGGAGACAGAGCGATGAAAACGACTCTCGGAATCAGTCGACAGGCACAGCAGCAACTCTGCGGCAGCGGGACCATTCCAGTGCTTTCGTCGTTCCGTCTCTCTCGCTCTCACGGAGTGAGGGGCACTGTCTGGAATCGACTATACGCGTTGGACAGCTAACGAAAGGCCCAGGCAGGTGGGCCAGGCTCAGCCGGGCCGAGGGTCTAGCCGGCCGGCGACGGATTACCGGCGGTGGGGATGACTTAGAGGGCCTCGTGTGAGGCCCACACGAGGACCACTAGGATGACTCCGTGCTAACTATCGAGTGGTCAAGGCGTGCCAGCTAACGGAAGTCACGTAACAGCCACGGACGGTTCTCCAAGGGCTATCCGAGATAACAACTCAATGCTGTTTCTTGGAATAACGCTGTCATCTGCCATCAGCAAACCTTTCAAAAGTGGGAAAGGGGGAGGGGAATATAAACCACATAGTCTCAGCTTGTACACCCTTTAATCCATTTCGAGCTTCACGGAGTGGGTCTCCTCCTACGCGATGGCCTTGGCCGCGCGCCGCTCCGCCACGCCGAGGCTGCCGTGGCCGTGGAGATACCCCGCGTCGTCGCCGAGCATGCCGCGGTAGGGCGGCGCCGCGTCGGAGTGCCGGCCGAGCGCCTTGCCCGCGAAGGCCGCGTCCTCCGCGGAGAAGCCCATCGAGTGCCTGGACAAGGAGTGGGCTAAGCGGGGTTCAAAAGGGTTGGGCGGGGCCAGCGGGAGGGTTCCCCGCAGTGCGGACGCAGCGGGGCGCCCCGTAGTGCGAGGCGATAGACCGACGGCCGCTCTGCGCGAAATCGCCCCGCTGGCGTTGGCAGTACCTGTAGTAGCCCGCGGCCTCCGCGGAGGCGTCCCGCGCGTCCCGCTTGGCGTTGTGGCGCACGCGCGGCGACTTGGGGCGCAGGGCGGCGACGAGGCCGGACAGCAGCGCCAGCCCCGCCAGCGCCAGCAGCGCGCCCACGCCCAGCACGGCCCAGGGCAGCGCGGCCAGCACGCCGAGCGAGCGGTTGGCCGAGGCCACCTTGTCGAAGCTCGCGCCCTGCAGGGTGATGCCCTGGCGGCAGAAAGGACAAGTTCGAGGTGCGACGAACTGCAACTTTGTCTTTGCCACCGAGTCTTTCCCATGAGAGCGACAGAGATGCGCGGAATCCGTGCCGGCCTCCGCATCGGCCTTCGCGCGCTGACTGCACGGTCACACTGTCCGCGGCGAGGCGCCGGCGTCATCATGACGTCACTGACGGCCAACGTCCACGACGCGAGTCTCACTCACCTCCTCCATCCACAGGATGGGAAAAAGGCCCTCGCTCACCGACGCCAGGTAATTAAAATCTTCTATCTTTTTCAGAAACATGTTGAGCTGAACCCTCTTCTTGGCTCTGAGAGGAATCCCAGTGGTCTGCGGAGTAGGAAAATAGGTCTCTTATTCACAACATGCAATTTGCCCGGGCTTGTCGCGCGAGTTGATGTGTTCCTCACCGGCTCGATGTCGACAATGGTTTGGTGGGCCTCTTCCCTGGGAGCGAGACCCACCGGGTAGTCGACCAGTGCTTTGTCGCCCAGGTAGAAATGCGGGAAACTCAAAATGACCGGGGAACCTGGCGCGGACCGAAAGGAAAGGGAACATTGGGTCAGTTCACCTTTTTATTTCTAAATTTCGGAAAGGAAAGAATCTTGCCTGAACACGGCGCCAGGCTCATGGTGCCGTTAGGCAGGCACGACTTGGCCTCCTTCTCCTCGACGGTCATCCCCGCGGCCCTGCGACGCCGTCTGGCGGCCTCCTGACACACAAACATCAGTCGCATTAGTCATTTGAAGCGCACGCAGCACACCGTAGCTGTGGCCGCAAGTCCAACCACTCGAACGCCACGCCACGCACCTCCTCGTCCGGGTCAGCCTGCTGGTCCTCCTCGGGGGCTATGACGCAGAAGCATCGGTTGGGAGCGTACTCCAGTCCGCTGGCCAGCATATCGGTGTCGATCGCGAACCGCATCACGGGGACGCCGTTCAAATCGGTGTCCTCCTTGTAGTGCAGGTACAGCGACCTGCAAAGTCGCGGCAGTCGCGGAGTCAGATACCGTAGCCGGCCGTGTTTCCGTGGGGCTCGTCCGCAGCCCCACGTTTCAAGGAGCGGCCGACGGGGCTGTGGCAGGGCTGTGACAGGGCTGGACGCACCTGCAGGACGCCGATGTGTAGATGGGCAGCACGGTGGCGCCGCGCTGGAAGGGCCCGAAGAGCGTGCCGTCGGTGCCGTTGATGAGGTTGCACGGCGTGCCCTGCCGCCACGTGGCCAGCGTCGCGTTCCCCGCCACGGCCGTGATGACCCCCACCGCCCTGGCGTCGTCCTGGCCGCGGTGCACGCGGATACGCTCGTGCGACGTCCCGTTCAGCTGCAAGCGAGTGCATCAGGATGACGGGTGACGGCGCGGGGCGAGGGTTCAAGAACCGGTCACTGTTTGATTTTACTCACGTGGCCGAACATGGAGAAGTAGAAGTTGAGGCCGTCGCGCCGGTACGTGGCCGGGGCGCGCTGGCGCAGGCCCTGGCAGACGGCCCCCGCCGGGAAGGAGTCTTCTGGGAACGAGCAGTTGATGAAGACCCCGCTGAACAGCAGCTCCCCGACCGTGGTGGTGAGGAAGATGTTCTTAGCCGTGAACAGCAGCGGCACGGCGTCGTTGAAGATGCCCAGCCCCATGGCGGACACTTGCTGCAGCTTGAGCGCCGTGCCCTGCGAACAGACACCGTTCACTGCGACGGTCTGGGTGGGCTAGACGACGGCCGTGCCGAAGCCACCGCCATCGCATCCGCGAGGTTCTCTCTCACCAGGATGGGGGCGTGGATGACCGTGACGGTGTCGCTCTCAGACCGGCACCCTGATTTGTCCTTGTTGAAATAATACGAGCTCTTTGGCAGATAGGAGACGGTGTCATCCTGATCGTGAAACTCCAGCTCCACCCGCTCCCTGTACATGCTGGAGACATGGAGACGCGGGTTTACAGGCTGGATGGCTGGGTGGCGGCATGCCGGCGGCGGGGTGCGGGGACACGTACTCGTAGATGTAGGGGCCCTTCTCCGTGAGCACGGGCCTCGCGCCCTGCCCGCTCACTTCCTCCGGGTTCTCCACGTGGAACAGGTACACGTGGAAGTGCAGCGGCTGCGGCGTCTTCCTGAACCTCTCCAGCGCCTCGGAGCCCTCCTTGAGCGCCACCTTCTGCGGAATGAGAGGGGAGGGGGCGTCAGTGCAGCCCACGCGGTCGCTGGACTGAGCCGCGCACAGACCCACCTCCATCACCATGCTCTGCACCAGGCTGGGCACGGCGTAGAAGTTGCCCACCAGCCCCATGGCAGTCAGGATCACCCCGGCGGCCACGACCCAGGCCGCGTTGGAGTCTTGCATTCCTGCCGGGGCCGACGAGGCGGGCTAGTCGTTTCAAGCGCCGCTGGGCCTGCCGGCCTGCCCGACGCGTCGCCGGCCTCGCGGGGCCTAGCCGCGCTAGCTGCGCCCCCGCGCTGGGTGCCAGCGCAGCCAGCGGCACGACGCCAACCTGGCGGCCGTTGGGGCCGCGGGGCGGAGAGGGGCGGGGGTACGTAAGAAACGCCCTGTCCCTGCCTGTCTCCGAGGCAAGGCGCCGGGCGCTTTCTGGAACGCGGGTCGTGGCTGACTGGGTGACTCGGTGACTGCTGCTCGTGCAGGTCGCGTGCCCTGCGCCTCACCGTCCTCGCCCCGCGCCCCGCCGACTCGCGGCAAAATCAATGAGAGCCTCGCCCGCGCAACCACTAATCGGCCACTCATCGGCGCACTTTTACAGCCAGCCGATCGTGACCCCACCCACCACGTGCGTGTGACCGCGAGCCGTCAGCTGCTCCGAGGCTCTTGTCAAGCTTGGCCCGGGTGGCCCTGGGACTGGGACTCGCCTGCGGACGCAGCGCTAACGCTTGGAGAGCGCCGCGACGCCGCGCCGCGTCGGCCCGGGTCATGAGTCTGCCGTTCCCAGACCGTCTCTATGTCTCTATTTTCTGTTTCGGCCGGTTTCTGCTCGACAGCGGCCGGCGCCGCCACTGTATCAAAGTCGCGCACTTGCGTGAGAACTGGCTGGCACTATCTGATGCGCCGCGTGGCCGGGCCGTGGCCGTGGTGCCCCGTGGCCGCGTCAACGATGTCACCCGGTGACGCGTCGGTGACGGGATGTCATCGGGTCGCGATCCATGCACGGCACGCCACCGTGGCGGCAGGGCTTTCCGACTGCTGTTCGTCTCGCCCCCTGAACCCAACAGACAGGCGCACTCTCGCTGCTTTCAGTTTAGTTTACTTTTCGGAGTGTCGATGATGTCTGGCACGGACCAAGTCTCGGCATTCTGCATGTAATGGAGGCGGCGTGGGAACGGGCTAGTGGTGTCGCCATTAGCCAAGTCTTTTTCGAGTGAGCTGAGGCAACGCCAACCGGGAGCAAGGCGTTGTTTCCCCTCCTGGGAGTCTGATAGAAGGGTTCTGCGGTAAAGGGCACGCAAGATGTTCACCCTGCAGTTTTCGAACAACGGCCAAGACGGGACCTGAAACGCGGCCTCCGGGGGCAATTAATCTAGATGCAGGCACGGAAGGCCCCCGCGGTCGGCGCGACCTCTGAGGCGCCGCGATCGGGCCGGGCGGGCGGCACGCAGGACACGCCATGGCAGGCAGGTGCTGCCGCCGCGCCGTCTCTGTCGCGCCTATTCGGAACGACGGAACCACGGAAGTGCGAGAGAGACAGAGAGAGACGCGCTGTTCGGAACGGCTTTGCTGGCGCTATAAAAGCCGCGCCGGGGCCGTCCCGGCCAGATCCTCTACAGCCCACCGACGCCATGGAACTGCAGCTCAGCGTCTTCGTCGCGGCCGTCGCCACCCTCCTGGCCGCCGCGGTAAGCGACTGGAGCACCGCGCCGACGACACGGCGGTGCCGTCGTCAACGCCGCCACTCAACGCCGACGCGGGCCTCTGTTTGCAGGTCCAGCAGGTCCACGCGGACATGGCCGCCATCCAGGCGGTGACCAAGTGCGCGGAGGACAACAAAATCAAGATGGGTCAGTGCTTGTCCGAGAGGGGCGCGCGTAGCCGCGTAGCGTAAACACACATTCTCTTTTCATGGCCGAGGCCGTTGGGGGTTGAGGCGGCGACCTTCCCGTTCCCAATTACCAGCTGCCAGCCCGGGGCAGCCCGAGGCTGGCCGGCCTGTGCGCAAACACGGCGGGAATAAATAGCGGCCGCTTCACTCTGCTCCACTTGGCACCAATAATTAAAGCCGTTTAATCTGAGCGATCAGGGCATCGAGCGGGCGGGCCGTCGGCGATGGCCATCGGAGTGGGCGTGGGCCAACCTGGCCGTGGCTGCCGTGGCAGGGAGGACTCGCCCCGCTCGCGGCGCTCCACTGTCAATGTGGCGCACTAACTCATTCGCAGTCTCACTCACTCAATCACTCACTCTCTCTCACACACACACACACACACACACACACACACACACACACCTACACACACACACACGTACGTACCGGTTGACATTCGCTCACTTATCGTACGGCCTTTCGTGGCCGCGATGAAATGGGTGCAAATGCACGCACGCAGGCCCCCTCGTGGCAGTGCAGTGCCATGGCAGTGCCGCCCCGCCGGCATGGGGCTGCGTCCGGGACTTGCTGTGGCTGAGGCGGCCGGACCCCGGACGCAGCCCCAGTCCGCGAGTCGAGTCATCGCGATCTAATTTTCCACTCGCTGCAGAGACTCTGATGAAGGGCTGCGAGCAGACCGAGGTCGAGTCCGAGCCCGGCTACAAGGTGAGTCCAGGACCCTAGAGCCACCCTGCCACCCCAAAGGCGGCCCGTGTCAAGCCGGACGGCGTTTCTGTTGCAGTGCTTCACCAAGTGCGTGCAGCAAGTCATGGGAGTCGTGAGTATCCGACGCGTGAGGCGCGCTCATTTCACTGCAGCGGAAACAACGCGAGATAACGCGTGCTTTCCTTGCAGATGGACGACAGCGGCAAGTTCAATCCCGAGAAGTCCGCCGCGTTCGTGGCGGAGGAGGACAAGGCCAGCACGCTGGACGTTACCAAGGCCTGCGCCGTCGAGGCCAACGGTCAGTGAGACGCGCTGTGGGCGAAAATTGCCCACGCCCACTTCATTGGCAATGAAATATTTGAGCGGGTAAACCACGTCGCTTCCGAGATAAACGTTGACTGCTTTTTCCGCAGCCATCGCCGACTTGTGCGAAAGGGCGTCCGCGGCCAACGTGTGCATGCAGAAGAAAAACCCCGAGGTGAGCTTCCCCGACGCCTCTCGAGTTGCGACGGAGCGCATGACACGAGCGACCGCCGCGAGCTCACCCCCCGTGCCTCTGTTCCAGATATACAAAAAGTCGTGCATGGCCATTACGGAGAAGATGATGTCGACATGAGACGGCAGTCATCTGCGGACCAGCCAACATTCTGCCGCGGCATAGTTCAATCAATAAACTGGTGTTATGACCACATCATCGTAAATCATCGCAGGCTGTCTCTCGTCTCTGCTCTCCAAGCCCGCTCAAACGAACGGCAAAGTCTTGCTGAGCGCCTGCAAAGACGGGGGTAGGCCGGCCCGTCGAACACGCGCGTTGCGCGGGCCTGGCTACCTGCCGTTCGGCGGGCGCTGGCGGCCCGTCAGTGGCGGGGCCTCGGAAGACAGCGGTTTCTGAATAAACGCAAAGGGATTCGACAGGTGGGCCTCCTGCCTGGTACATGTGGTCATTTACCCCTTCGCTGGACGGGTGTACTTTTCCGTTGTCAACGCAATGTGCCGACAACCATGTCAAACGGGCACAAAATAATAACAAACAGGAACCGATCAGCTGCTTTCAGACAATGTATAATTGAGGCTCAAAGTGCAAGGATACAGAAAGACCAGTTTCCTCCATAATACAAAAAGAAAACGAAGAAAAATTACACACATCATGCTTAACTTAGGAATCACTCAACTTTGCCACAAAACAATGAATATAAGTCACACATCAGAATAAGGAAAACAAAACTTTCCGCTAACAGACAATATTGGGCAGCGAGCTTGTCTTGAGAATACAGGACATACAGGATATGGAAAACAAACATTTTCCTCAAGCCAAAAATAACAACAAAAAATAATAATGATAACAATTATTAAAGATTCTTGAGGTAGAAAGGCAACACAGCCTCATGATTCGTAACGTAAGTCAGTTCGGCCACACAACAGTGTACAATACTAGGACGAATTAATCTAGGACTCGCACTCCATGTCATCGTCCTGGCTGGGCCCGGAGCTGGCCCCGGTGCTGGGCCGGCGTCGCAGCTCGTCGCGGTGGGGGCACCACTCCGCAGAATGCGGGCACAGGGCACAGCCCGCGCGGTCCGTCGTGCCAGCGTGGCCCTCGGCGTCGATTTGCCAGCGCGCTCTAGAGGCCCCGGACGGCACCCCCTCAAAGGAGGGGATATCGGGGAGCACCGTGACGAGCACCGAGGCAAAGGCGCTGCTGAGGACGGTCAAGGTCGACGACGGGGAGGGCACGGCCTGCACGGCCTGCAGGGCCTCCGACGAGGTGGAGCCTTTCTGGTCGGGGGGCGAGGGGGAGGGGCTTTCATTATTGAAGCCCAAGAATGCATAGGTCGGGGTGGACCGGGTGGAAGAAGGACTGAGCGCAACAGGTTGCTGAGCCACAAAGCCACGCAGCTCGTCGCCATCGTCGAGCGGCTCGAAGGTGGCCGGGTTGAAGTTGAGGGCCGAGGCCAACGGTTCGGGGGTGACATGGTTGAGGTTGACGGCCGGGGCCACCGGCTCGGGGGTGGCGTGGTTGAGGTTGAAGGCCGGCACCACCGGCTCGCGGGCCTCGGGGCTGGCCTGGTTGAGGTTGACGGCCGGGGCCACTGGCTCGGGGGTGGCGTGGTTCAGGTTGACGGCCGTGGCTACCGACTCGGGGGTGGCCGGGCAGGACCCAAGCGACTCTGTCGAGGAAGGCAGGCAGGGCGAACCTGACGAACTTGGCGTCCCAGCCTTGGCAGCCTTGGGCCTGCGCGATGTGCTGCCCAGCTTGCCGACCTTCATTTTGCGAGTGAACGCGTAATGGGCGCTGCAGTAGTCGTAGCAGTCTCTGTACGAAGCCCGCCGACAACTTCTTGTCGAGTTCCGCCTGCTGGGCTGGAGGGCATTAGTCTTGTCCTCAGCCTCCTGCATCGAGGTCTCGGCGGATACCTCAGGTGATGCTTCGACGCTCCTCTCGAAGGGAACCTCGTTCCAGAACCCAACGGCAGCATAGTTTGGAATCTGGGGCGGGGACTCGAAGGAGGCCTCGACGGTCGACTCTGCAGGCAACTCAAGGGGGCCTTCGACGGGGGCCTCGTTCCAGATTGCGAATGGGGCAGAGAAAGGGGTCTGGACAAAGGCCTCCACGGGGGCGTCGAATGGGGTGTCCGCAGAAGTGTCGACAGGGGTGTCCACAGAAGTGTCGACAGGGGTGTCCACAGAAGTGTCGACAGAGGTGTGCACAGAAGTGTGCACAGAAGTGTGCACAGAAGTGTCCACAGAAGTGTCCGTGGGCGTGTCCGTGGGAGTGCCCGTGGGAGTGTCCCGGGGGGCGTCGACGGGTGCGTCGACAAGCTTGTCGATGGGGCCGGGGTCCTCTTTGGCGGCCAGGATGGAGGTCCTGGTGGGAGTCTGGATGGAGTCCTCCATTGATGCGTCGACGGGAGCCTCGCCGCAACTGTTTGCAGCTCCGGTGACATCTTGGTTCGAATCAGCCACCATCAGCACGTTTTCTTTGGACGTGTCGTTCACCGTGATTTCGGCACAGCCGCTGAAGTTGACCTTGTACAACGGGATGGACACCTTGATGGGGCCCAAGAATGCCTTCAAGCCTGTGGTCGTGCTCGAAGGTGAAGGAGGGACGTCTGGTGAAAGAGGGGCGTCCTCGGGCAAGGGTGTAATTTCCTCCAAGGGGGTCGTTTCCTCGAGCGAAGCGGGGTAGGCGTCGCCGGTGAGCGGCCTGCACGGGATGTCAGTGCCGTCGGCGGCGACCTCGCACCACTGGGTGTGTCGGGCTCCTTCGGGGGCGAGGAGCAGCACCGTGCCTACGGACTTGAGGCGCTCGACGCAGCAGCCGTCCCGGGGGTGGCCGACGTAGGTGAGAGGCACTTCAGGCCGGAGAGCCTCCAGGTCGCGGTGGTAGTCGCAGCAGCGGTCGGAGACGGCCACGCTCTCCAGCACCACGTGCAGGCCGGGGCGGCAGAGCACCAGGCGGCGCACGGCGGGCAGGCGGCACCCCCCGTCTGCCGCGTCGCCGCACGACTGCCGCACCTTGAGCTCCTCCAGGTGCGGGGCGGCCAGCGGCAGCACGCACAGCCTGTCCAGCGCGGCGGAGGGCGGCAGGCACGTCATGGCCAGCTCGCGCAGCGCCGACTGCGGAGTCAGCACGGCCAGCAGTCCAGCCGCCAGCCCCAGGTCGTCAGCAGTCCTCGGCGGCAGCTGCACCAGGCGCAGCTTGGTCAGGTGCTGGAGCTGGCCCACGTCCTGCAGCAGGTAGTAGTGGGACAACAACGGCTTGCCCACCGTCAGCCTCAGCTCGCGCAGGCTGGGGGCGCTCTTGAGCGTCTTCACGTCCGCGGAGGCCGGCGTGCTCACCACGCGCAGCGCGGGGCAACGTGACGCGGCCAGCAGTGCCCCCGGCGTGCCCACCTGCAGAGCGAAAGGCTTTAAAAGGGCACAAGACGGACAACCATGACCGGGCTGCCACGACCACGTAGTGCTACGTACCCGCATGGGCAGGTGCACGTCGACGAGGGTGTGCTGGTGCGCCCGGATGAGTAGCTGCAGCGTCACGCCCAGCTCGCCGTGCGAGTCGTCCACGTCGAGCACGCCCACGTCCACGAACAGCGTGCGCAGGGAGGAGCGCGTCGCCGGCAGGGCCCTGAAGGCGTGCATGCACGACGCCAGCCCACTCCGCTGGCTCAGGAACAGGACCAGCGACTGCAGCTGCGGCGCGTCCCCGATCAACTCCCAGAACCTGGTGGCAAGTGGAGGGCAACGTCAGTTGGCGCCGGCAAACGCTGCCAGGCGGGCCTTGGGCCTCGGGCCTTGGACTTCCCCGCCCCACGTACCTGCTGGCCTGACTGGGCGAGAAGTACGACGCCGACAGTGGTCCCTCGCGGAGGCAGAAGACGGTGAGGACCCTCCTCGAGGTCCACAGCAGCCGCAGCACCGCATCGGGGGCGGCACTGTCCAGGTTGACGCACAGGTGCTTCGCCCCCGTGTTGCAGTTCTCCACGGCGTAGCGCAGCGCTGGCGGGTCCGCCTCCGAGAAGCCCCACTCCAGCGTGTCCACGGCAGGGGCCGCCTCCAGGGCACGCGCGAACAGACGGGCGCGATACGATAAACCCTGAGCAAAGAAAAAACATTAAACGTGCTGCTGGTCACGCGACGCACGCTGGCCAGCTTGTCGTCCTACCTCAGGGTTGCTGTAAGTCAGCTGCACGTCGCACCACAGCGACGGGTCCCGCGCCAGGCCGCGCCACCGCTTGCACACCACGCTCATCACGTTGGCCAGGAAGAGCTTGTCCATGTAGGTGAACACGCGCAGCAGCAGGCCGTCCGGAAGGTCGTCCAGCTGCAGGCCCCTCGCTGCCGCGCGTTTCTGACGGAAACAAAAGAGTTAAACGTGCACGAGTTGGTCGAGACAGCCACCCACACACTCACACCCACACACCTGTCTGGGCGCCACGGCCACGGGGCTCGTCCTCTTGATGCTGTGGAGCATGTTCACCTCCTGCTGCAGGCTCTCCACCAGGGCGTCTCTAGCCAGCAGCTCCGCGCGCAGGATCTCTACCGTCGCCAGGAGGCTCTTCTTCTCGTAGTCCGTGCTGTCCTCCGCCACTCCCCATGCACCGGCGCGCGGATGCCTCAACAGGTCCATGCCTGTAGCAGAATCATCACCGAGTGGTCCAACTGCCCTACAATGGTCCAAGCAACGAGGAGGCTAGGGGCGAGAGAAGGCGACAGTGCCTTCTTTAGCGCGAAGAAGCCGTCCGTATCTCTCGAGGCTACAGACGTACGCGCTGAGCGCTTCCCCGACGAAAAGTGGGGTTAAGCCGCCCGCAGCTTGACAATAACGCCAGGGAACGAGACAGAAGAAAAGGAACTGACAGCGAGGCGAGAGCCCGGTTGTCTATCATAGGAAGGAAGACACCTGCGAGGGCGTTTACACGCATAACTTTTGTTTAGCTAGAGCCACGGCTCGTCGTTTGTGTACTCACCGTCGCGCATGGGGCAGCAAACCCTGCAACGAAGCCAAGACGACACGCGTTTGCAGATTTTCCTTGTCACCGGCAAGCAAGAAGGCGAAAACTCTCACGTCAGCACTGTCCCCGTTGGCGAGAGCATGATCCACCAAGGCTGGGCGGAGAAGTCCCGAGACAGCAGAACACAAACACGGCTTCTAGGTGACTGTTGCTTCCCTTCCCGGCGTCCGGCGTTTCAAGTGTCAACACAACAACAATAACAACCGCCAAGAAACAAGACACCAAACCCTCACCCCCACCTCTCTCCGCCCGGGGAAGTGGAAGTGAGTGACCCAACCGGCAACGCTGCCGCCGCCGGCGGGAAAAAATGAAAATTCAAATGTGCCCGTGAACAACCTCTGGTACTACCAAACATTGTACGAATGGCCGTTCCTTTCGGGTTTGCACAATTTTTGCTTCTGTCTTTCCAGCATATTTCTGGATTGTGTGACGTTTCTAAGGAAATGGATCTGAAGAGGAAATATTCATAAAAAAGCTTTATTTGTGATAAAATTTATTAAATACAATAAATGCTCAACTGCATCATAAATAATAATAAACACACCACACTTACAACAACATACCTTAAAGGCACAATCACATTATTACATTAGTTCAGGGCGATCTATCAACACACATTTATAAGAATAGAAAAATCAAGCCGCCATCAGTGTTTCAGGGCTAGAGTACTACACCAGAGTTAACAGAAAGAAGAATACTTGCATTTTAAAAGAAATATTTGATAGCATTAACAATTAATTGCAATCTAACTGTGGTGAAGGAGTGGTGAATAATTTTGTACACAATTCTACAATTCTATATCAAAGTTTTTATCTTTACCCTTTTTCTTGAATTAAAGGTCTTAACTTACAATGATAAGATGGAACACATGTTGTCAGTACTCTTTTCTTACTTCTAGCTACCAAAAACATCAGTTCAATAGTGCCTTTCAAATGCTCACAATGGGTCCCATAATAAACAAACTCATTGCTCAAGGTAAAATGTACACACACATGGTCTGAGAAGCTATGAGAACAAACTCCAACAAGACTAGATAAAAAAGCTTAACAAGTTGTTAAAAAAAGGAAAAAAGAAATTATGTTAGGACAAACTTCCTTGCATTCTTCAATCAAGAGGTAATACTCTACTACAAATGTATCTCACATGGACTTACAATACTACTTTTTTCCTACTTTTACTGGCAAAACAAATACATGTGAGCCTTGGTTACTGTGTTTTTTTTTTTTCAAGAAAATGAATGAGATAAGAGGGACAATGGTAATTTAAACAAAATACAGTAGAAACAAGGTACGGAATCATCTCTTTTTTCTGATTGGCTTTAGCATACAGAAAATGGAACAAAAGCAGCAAGCACAGTGTGGTTACAACTGAACATTGACAGGACAGTATTAATCTGGAACATTTCTCGATTAATAAAAAGACGAACAAGGATGTATTGACTTAAAAAATTAACTAGAAAGAAAACTTGAGCGTCTTGAAAATACCTGACAGATACAAGAGGGTTGTAAGAGCTATCACAGACCCAATTCATTGATTGTTGTGAATTAATGTTATTACTTAATAACCTAGTAATAAACTAATATGACATCATTATTTCCATGCTTGCTTCAGAGCTTTGCGTGAGGCTAATCGTTTTGTTGTGTAAGATGCTAAGCCAAGTCCAACTAAAACCATTGAGATGAGGAACGGATCGAAATCTTCTTTTAACACATCAAAGGTTTTGGAAGGTGCTACTCTGGTGTAGAATAAATCTGGAAAAAAAAAAAAGTTAAAATAAGTCAACAGGTTTGATTCAATTTTACACTTTACGAGACTGCTGCTCACCTAATCCATACACAAGCACAAGAGATGTACTTTCCAACCCACTTGGGGCTGCATGAATCCCATTTATTTGTGGTAGTGATTTATTATAGTTTATGATAGATTCTGTTGGGATAGGCAATTCGGGCATGTAAGGGATCACACCTTCTTCTCGCATCTCAGGTGTTACTGTAACTGGTCTACGGGGATCCACAAACATCCATGGTAACTCAAGAACAGCACCACTCGCAAGGCCAACTGCAGAAAAAACAAGAACCAAGTAAATAAACAAAGGCAATTTCAAGAAAACATTTGATATAAAGACCACTGTGAAGAAGGCTTTACCAAGAAGGTGCCGACTGGTGATGCCCTTTTCTGTAACAGTTGGTGTCATGGACTGAACCATAGCAGGGAGAATGTAAGACTGGCGTTCAACTAACGGATTCACAGGTGAAAGAAGAGAGGAGAAGGCTAGACAAAAACAGAAACATGACACACACTGGAAATATTATTGAAATTGAAAGTTGACTCATTCAGGCTGAGCACACTTACCCCCTGAGTTGCTCTGGGTTTTTCCTTCATACAGTTCAATCGCAGTGATTTCAGTGCGTCTCCACTTTTCACTAAAGTAGGTATAAACAACCCAATTCTCAGTGTGGACTAGATGTATGGGTTCACGAGCCCTCTTATGAGAGATAGAGAAAATTACAGCTCCTGACACAGCATCCAGGAGATATACATTGAGAACATCTGCCAAATTTAGAGTGTATTATTTACGTGACATTAATATTTCAAAGCAGAGAGACAGTGAATTAATCTCATACATACACTTATGCAAAGGGTCAGTTCCTTGAGTAACAACAGCAATGAGATTGGGGTTGACATATTTGTAGAGAACACTACGATCACCTAAAACACGGCCCTGTGAGTGTACTCGTTCTTGAGGGCTCTTTCCAACAATATTCACCAATGTTTGGGTCTCTGGGTTGAAAACCACATCCCACACTTTAGAAGCCACTAGCCTCTGAAAATTATGACAATGTCAGTAGAAAGACATAAGACTAAAAAAATTGGAAGTCAATGCAAAAATTACATTTGATTACCTCTCCAGTTGATTGGGCCAGTGTGTACCCATTCATAATTCCCGTATCAGTATTTGCCACATACATGTAAGTGGAGGCAGCAAAGGAGTCAGCCAGTGAGATTGCCGTTTGAGGCTCTATGTAAACTTTTTCTTCAGAATCAAGTAATAAAATGGGTCGCAGTGACTCTTCATCCATAACGGAAAGAAGCATAGCTTGAAGAACACGATAACCAAGATTCTTCTTCAAACCCACTCCTGTGATAGGGTCGAAGGTATAGAGGACACTTTCATTTGAAACCTGAATAATGAGGTAATTAACTAAGTTAATGTTTTGCAGTCAGAAATAGAAAATAACAATACAAAGAAACCTACTTTATCCTTCAGTAACAAAGAACATTGAGCTGGATATGGTCCATGCCTAGTAGTCCTTTGAACAAAGAGTTGCATGGAACTTGTGTCAACATTCGTCAACATCTTCTGCCATACTATTTCTCCATTTAAATTGTCCAATCCAAACAACTGTGTAGTAAAGATTGAAAGTACATAAGAGAAATGCTTTTCAGAATTTTTAAAAGAATAGAAACAGTTCATGTGAAACTTATACCTTTCCTGCTTTTGTTGCAACAACAATCATTTTATGGAGGCCAAAATCATCTCGCACTAAATCTGTTCTCTGACCAGCTGGCTGAATAGGATCGCTTATTCCAAACACAGTCTGCAGAAGCTGCTGGAACTGCAAGGTTTGGCTAACCAGTCGTCTTCCAAACATTCCTAATAATCCAGCTGTAACCAATTAAAACTTTTGAGACCATCAAACAAAAGAAACTGCACCACACAAGCAAACAACTGATTCAGCAGTTCATGCCAGCTCAAATCATTAAGAAAAATCACAGCCATACACAAATACACATTCTAAGCTTCATTGTCTGATAAAAACAAAACTTTCAGTTGAAAAATACAATAGAAATCACTGACCAAAAACTGTAAATACAGAACAAGCATTTAATGCACAAACTTTTCTTACAGTGTATGTGATGGAGCACAGCACATTAGGCACAGTAGTGCGCAAAAATATACAATACACAGCAAACTAAACTAAAACACATTCACACTGAAGTAAAACAACACTGCAACACTTTAAAACTCACCAACGACAGCAAAATCCTCTGAGCAGCACAAGCCAAAAAATGAGAACTATGTCACACAACTACTTATAGGAATTCATAGAATTGCCTTGTATTCTCTTCACCTTGCACCAGTTCACATTTATTTTATATTGTAACATAATGATGGTTCTTACCTTCCTTATTGTCAAACTCCTTTTCTATGGCAGCATCTTTGTCAGACACTGGGAGGTCCATCATTTCAACAACTGATATAGATGCCAAGGACTCTTCTCGAACCCAAAGTTGTTTACCTAAAAAATTAAAAGGAAGTAAGTTACAGACATAAGTTTCCACAAGAAAAGGAAAATCTGTAATGGAATGTCAAGCCACATCTCATGGTCAGGTGAATTACTGATGTGGTAAACTTCAGCAACTTCCAAAAAGCATCAGCTCAGCACTAACCAGAAGAATGTAGAAGAGCGATTGATTCTTCTTCGGTATGCACAAGGAGGCGACATAATGATAGATCGTTGCGTGACCCACAAATAACATCTTCCAGTTGAGGAAGACTGGCAGAAATGGTGAATGGAAATGCACTACTGGATTCTTCAATTTTTTTACCAGACATGCAGTCAGTGGTTACAACTTCGAGCACCTAGTTCAACAAAACACAAAAAGTTTATGTTGAGTAAAATTATCAAAAGGACAAAAAAAAAAAAAAAAAAAAAAAAAAAAAAAGGTTAAACTGTATTTCCACAAGAAAACAATGATTCACCTTATTTTTTAAAATAAGCTGTACAACAGACACAGCTTCATGGTTTGGATCAGAGAGAACCCAGTGGGCAGAATAGGGCATCAATTTGCACTTAACAATTGACTGTCCCTGCTCAGGCAAGAGAACAACTTGGTGAGACTGTTCTGACCCATTCTCTGCAAAGTCTAGGAACACTCCAGGCTTTTCTCCAGATTTCACTGACCGAATGTTGACAATTTGTTGGTGTAATTCCAAGGTAAATGCTTTGGCATCTTTTTGAGAAAATCTCACACTGTGAATCTCTTTTCCAGAATAGCAAATAACGAGGTCTCTTGAAATAACACACCTAAAATAGCACAGCCGTACATTAATTGCTTTAAAACAGGATTGGAAAAGAATGGAAATATTTGTACTCAATCTCCTAATGAACTCACTTGCTTTTGTGCGCCCATGGTGCATTGTGTTGCCACTTTCCAGTCTGAGAGCCAGATCGTAAACTGAACTGGTTGACAACAAAATCAACACCATTGTTTACAGAAACTGCATACAATTTATCAGTTGAAATAGCCCAGATTACTCTGCAACAAAGATAATTAGATTAAAAACTACAAGTAACTATAAATAAAACACAATTTATCCTGTCCTACAAACTAACTTGTCAAGATTCAGTTCTCCAGGTAAAGGCCACTCAAATCCAAGAGCTCCATTGATTGTATCAAAGGCTCTGACAAGAGGTTTGGAGCCCCCAGAAACTACAACAGCTTCACTACCACTCGACGGCGAAAGGTAAAGAATCTTCCCAAGTGGCTCTTTCTCAAGAATTTGTCGCCATAAAATATTGCCTAAAACACACACAATGTGAGTTAATAATGAGCTAACTTTGCTGCAGAAACAATATGAAAACAACTCACCCGTCTTTAAGTTGAGAGCCGCAACGACATTGGATTCTGTGGCAACTATGCCACGTTTCCCAGAAGCATCACCATAAGCAAACTTCAAAGCCCCTATGTAGCTCTGATGCCTGTAACAGAATAGCAAATTGTTAAAAAGAAGTGACATACTCGTCCAGATAAAAGTAGGTTCATGGAAAGACAAAAATCCTCCCCAGCTTGTTTGACATACACGACCACGATGTTTAGAGTTTGCTAAATGAAAAGAAGAAAGAGCAGAAAGATTTCAGAGCTTTTCCATTTAAATTAACATAATTAGATTCTGGTCTACAATGATGATGATTCTTGAAACTCTTGTGATCAATTAATATTAGAAACTTAAAAATAAACGATAATTTTAGAAATGCTGAGAAGACGTATAGGCCTAAGCAAATTAAATATTTCATTTATTTTGGAACTAAACACAGAAGAAAAACCGGTCGCCCTAACCTCAAATTGAGCTTTTCCGCGCATTTTCGACTAAGCTAAGACAAATGGATGAATTCTTACCAGTCGAATTTGCCAACCTGATCTTCATAAATACAATTAGACCCTGTGATGATACCCAAAAATATGAAGAACACTTGCAGAGGCAAAACAAACATTATGCGGCCTTTTGTCATCATGATGACGGCTGCTACTGCTAGGAGTAGGACGCGGCGGAGATGAACCTCAGGGAAGTCGGATGCGGATATACGCACTTCTTGCACTCAATCTCTGCCTCAAACGTATGAGAATCTTGCTTGAGAATGAGAAATTGAGAGGACAGTTCTTGAGTTCGACAACAACAACAGACTTGACATTAGACTTAGACAAGAATCTTTTACCTGAATTCCTTCCAGCAGAGAACCTAGGAAGTAGAATTGTTCTTCCACAATGAATATCCTTCCGAAAAAGAGGTAAGCACTTCCTTGCGGTTTCTAACACCTCAATGGCGCATTAATACGTAACCCTTAGTTTGTTGGTTTGTTCTTATAATGTATTCAAACTATGACTCTGATCAAAACATGTCAGAGCAAATTAATATATTTAAGCCTTGATTCCAAATACTGGTTGTTTTTCTATGGTATTTTTCCTTTTCTAGGTGGCATGTTCGAACCAAGGACAACATTGCTCGGGTTCGACGAGATGAAGCGCAGGCTGCAGAGGAAGAAAAAGAAAGAGAAAGAAAAATTAAGCTTGCGGTATGTTTAAAATTATACCAGTCCGTGAGTAAATTTAGGATTTTCTCATAAAAAAGTCTTTCATTTTGATTTTGTTTAGGAGAAGGAGGCTCGGCGAGATTTGATGCGTATTCAGGCTCGTGCTAAGTATGGAACCAAAGAGATAAACAAAGAAGAAGATGAACCAGAAGAAAAGAATACCGGAGCTCCATCAAGGCTAGAACACATTAATTTCTTTGCTGAGGAAGAGGCAGGTTTGGTCTCAAGCACAGCTGTGAACAAAGATCATGAGGAAGAAAAGAAACAAGAAAAAGAGAAGTATGAAAAACAAATTGGTTATCTTACATATTTGGGACAGGACACTAATGAAGCCACTGGAAATGTGTCGTGGTATAACAAGTGCCCGGACAGAGAGGAGGTTCCCAATGAAGAAACTGGATTGAAACACAAAATGATGTCCGACCCTTTAAATTCATTCAGAAAATTCTGTGCTAGTAGCTTTAGTAAGAAAAGCACCCCTGCAATAGTGTCTGCAAAGTCTTCTACTTCTGGCCAAGATTCCAAAAGACATGCAGAAAAATCATTGTCACCAGAAAGGCAAAGGAAAAGTCATCTTTCAAAGCAAAAGCGTGAAAAATCCTACTCACCAGAGGAAAGTCGAGAGAAAAGGAAGAAAAATAAAGACACTAAACACAAAAAGGAGAAAAAACGAAAATCTAGTCATTCTATTAAATCAAAATATGACAGTGATTCTGACGAGTGTTCAACTGGTAGACATGCTGATGCAGAATCCAGTGAAGATGAAGACAAGGCTGAGAAGAGAAGAAAGCTCGAAAAGCTACGAGCAGAGAGATTACGGCGTGAAAAGGAGGAAAAGAAAAAAGCTGACAAACTCATGGCCAAAGTTCACGGTGTTGCATATATAGATGATGATGAGAAACCACAACCAAAACCTGTCATGAAACAACGATATAATTCTCAGTTTAACCCGAATCTAGCTAAACAGAACTATGAGGATCAGAGATATAGATTTTAAATGTTTTTTCATTTGATTGTAATTTAACTAAGAGAAAAAAAAAGGGTACTTGCAAGATATCTAGAATCGTCTTTCTTGTATTTTCCTAATTTCCTCTAGACCAAATTTGTATTTGTCTAATCGGTGTACCATGTAGAAAATATATTTATTAATTGTTGATCAATTATGTTCTTAATTCTGATTAGGAAGAAAGAAAATTAACACAACACAGTAGTAGCAAGTTCACTCTTCATTCTCGTTTTTGTTTATTATCATTAAAACAAATTAACAACAGAGTCGCGTTAGGGCAACAATCAATCTGATAGAAAAACAAACAGAATAGCGCACACAATCCTAGAGCAGCGCAGACCCTGAAGGGGCGGATGCTAGCGCACCGAGGGCTTGTGGTGCGATGGCGTTGGGCAGTGGTGGCGGCAGAGGCAGTGGTGGACCCACCGCCAGGCCTTGCTGCCCTCCCTGGCCAGCGGGGAACCCGGCGTCGTTGTAAAGGTTGGGGGGCTCAGCCCGGGCCTGCTCCACCTGCAGCAAGAAGGCGTGAGATGTAGAGTGAGATGAAGCAAGCGCCTGCGGGCTGCAGGGTAGGCAACACGGATCCCGCTGCGTGGTGGTGTTGCCTACCCACCGGGCTGATTTACCTGTCTCCGCACCGCCTCGAGGATGGCAGGGTGGATGTGCGCGCCTGTCGGCTGGAATCCGTACTCGTCCGCCACGTACTTGACTTGCACCTGCCCCTCCGGACTGGGGTACGAGTAGCTGCCCTGCACCGCTATGGCTCTGGACGCCGTCAGCTCGCCCACAGCCTCCTGGGCCGTCCCGTCGGCAGCGGCGTAGCTGCAACGCCATGGCAATGCCCAGGTCAAGTCTCAGATGTACAGGTGCGCAGCCGGGTGATTCAGAAGATCACTTTGTCGCTGTCTCTCTCGCACCCTATCGAAGAGCCTCATCAAAGCGAGAGAGACAGAGCGACGAATCGACTCCTCTGAATCGCTCGACAGGGCGAGCCAGCTCCATCCATCGACCAATGACTTACCTCCAGCGGTACTGGCCGTCCGGAGCTTGCTCGAAGTGCTGCTGCAGGATGGGGACGAAGGCCGGGGCAGGGCCCCCGAGAGAGCCGCCTGGCCCCGGCACCGAGGCCGTGAAGGGCGCTGGCGCCATGGGGGCGGCCCCCGTGCCGGGGCCAGGGCCCGACGGCGCGGAAGGCCCCTGCAGTCCCTGCAGTCCCTGCGGCCTTGCAACAGCACCCCGCAACGAGACGGCGCCCAAAAGAGCTGCCAACTATCACCAGACATACATCGGGCATTAAGAACACGGCGCGGTTTCTTCTGGCATTTCACTCGGCACGTGGCCGTCACACAAACACACACAACACTCGTGCACACACCCAGACCGTATCCATGGCGCAGGTGCGGGGAAGTGCCAGGGTCTTCGGCACTCGGTGCTCCGCGCTCCGCCTCGCCTCCAAGCCACTGCCAGCTTCTGGGTGCCGCGCCGCGCTTTATACCAATTGGCGCCGCCTTCCGCCCCTTTCGGCCCTTTTGGCTGCATCGCCGCCATCGCCGTGCTCCCCTCCAAGGACTCCAAGGGGCCGTAATCCCGATTCCGCCCGCAGTCCGCCGCAGTGCCAGCGCGCCAGATAAGTTTGTCTTTCTCCTGCCGCTGCTGCGCGGTGCGCCACGGTGCGCCGCGACCTGGGCAGCAGGTGGCCCACGCTCCTTCATTCAAGTCGCCAAAAGTCAATAGTGGAACGGCGCAGATTGAAGATAGCGGGATGAGACTGGCGAAACAGTGCCGCCACTGCACTTGGTTCAGCGTGGAACGCGCCGCTGCTGGTTGATTTGAAATGATTTATTATGGATGTGTATAGAAGGGAAATTCAAAATGTGTCCGTCAAATTTTTTTCGTTTCAATTCGTTTTTTACCAGTGCTTTAGAGTCAAACGATATGAAACGGGTGTTGTTTCGGTACCAGGTGGTCCAGAAACCCCGCGACAAAATGATTGCAGGTTACACGCCTGCAGCCGTGCATGCGGGCTTTGGACGACAAAGGGATTTGGCCTGGAAAATGGAGAAGCCTCTCCCTGGTTCAACCACTGCTCTCACCGGCCCCCGCCAATGTGTCTCCGGCAAGGTGCAGACAGGCAACCCGCAAAGCCCCGCTCTGTGATTGGCTAGTGGGCAGCGACGGCACTTCCCCAGGCTCCAGCAGTCATGCGCTGCGGGTTGCATTGTGTTGCACAATCAAGGCCAGACTTCCGAATGATACAGAGCGAGACTCGAGGCGAGGGGTCGTGGCTGGCGATCGGTATCTATGTGGGCCTGGCTGGGCTTGGCGGGGCCGCTGGGCCTGGCGCCGGGCTAGCCGCCGTCACTCCGTCACCGTCTTCCGGATGGTGACAAAGGGGCGGCTCCGATCAAGATGACGGCCGTGGCGGCGGCAGAGGTGGAGGCGCGGGCACGCGACAAACACTGCTAAACGGGACGGGGCCCTGCAGGCCCTGGCTCGCCTAGAGTGCCCAGACAGCCTGTCCTGGAGGGCAGGGCTCTCCCGTCGCTCATGTCAAGGAGGCCAGGAGGTGGCGTCCTCACAACTTTCAACAGGTCAGCTAGCGTCGTCGCGACGACTTTAAGTGGTTAAATGGCCAAGGAACAAAACCACACCTCTCTTTTGTTTTCTTTATTTAAAAACAAAAAAAAAATTACATAGAAAAGAAACACAATTTCAGAGGGAATAACCAACAAAGGCTTCATCTGTAGCACAGATTGCACAGAACCAATAGCAGTGTGACTTTGGTACATGATGCTTATTGGTCAGTATTTGGTCAGCGCTTTCAAGGGAATCATGAAGCTTTATCATGTTGTAAAAGATATAAAAGTAAAATAATGTCCCACAAATTACAAATGTCTCATCAAAATAAACAAAATGTATCAAATAAACGAGTATAAAATATGTATGACACAAACAAACCATATATATCAGTCTTAAAATCGCATTAGTTTTGAGAAAATACAGGTCATGTTTGTAAATACCTTTAGTAGCAAAGACACTGCAGTGTTGAAAGTGCACAAACATGGCATGTGAGGCACATTTGTACACTTGAACACCAAAGCATACTGACTGAGACACAGTATAATTACATTGAGCTAAAGCCTCATACCTTCATGAGATGAAGGGTGCTGAAGATCTTTAACAGTAATGAAGTAATGAAGAAGTGAGACATAGTAAAGTTACATTGAGCTACAGCCTCATACCTTCATGAGATGAAGGGTGCTGAAGATCTATAACAATAATACAATTAAGAAGCCTACAATACAGAATAATGTTTGCAAGGCTGACAGTTAAAACTTATTACTAGAATCACTTTTTTGTTGCATTGGTGAAATACTGTAATACTTTGGCTTGGCCATTGTTATCATTATCACTAGATAACCACTTAGAAAAAAGTTTCTTGTACTCTGCACTCTTACTCACGTTTACAGTAACCTGAATATCATAAGGCCTTACAAATCTCACAAACCGCCGAAGCTCTGAGAAACTACTGTGCTCGCTATAAGGTACACCTGGAGACAAAAACAAAATATTCATCAAATTAAAGTGAAGTTTTTCCATAATATTGATATTATTATCATATTTAAATCAGGGAGCTTACCATAAATTGTAACTTTGCCTTGAGAGCTTTTCTGGAAATCACTTGGTTTTCCATTTATGCTTTTAGATGTTGTCCAGCCTGTAGGCCTAAATCCTACAATATGTGAAAATTTATTACAATATTTACTGTAATATTGGTGCAGTGCCTGAAAAAGTTATAATAAAAAGGGGTCAAACGTGTTATAAGCATTTGCTCCACAATACGTCATTTACAAGGTCAAGTCGATTTCCAACAATACCTCCATAGTAATATCCCTCATTGCTAAAACATGAACCTGAGCAGCAAGCGGTTCAGTGGTGAGTCTATCTAAAAGTACCTTGTCTTCCAAACAATTATAAATTTTTCTCTTTTCCCCGGAGCACCAAATTTTGCAATTCAGAGCTTCAGCTATGCCTATGAACACCTTTTCTTTGCCTGATGAGGGAATGATGTTTCAGTAAGACACAAAAAAAAACTCTCAATGCTTTAACAAAACACACAGTAAAAAATCTCACCAATTGTATAAGTCCCACAAACAATAAGAGTTGCTTTATTTTTGGAAAGATGGCTTCTTACTGTTTCTATGACCTTCTCCACAACATCTTCTTGATATGGAAAATCATATGATGGGTCACAGTACCTAAAAAAAGCCAAATAAAATATACCAACACATTAAGTACGGTAGGAAAGGTCTACTGATATAAAGAAACTTCTGTAACATACGTAGTATCCAGGTATAACTTATCCACTCGTCTGAGATGTGCGTTTTCCTCCATACGAGGGTGTGCTCTAAAGTCACCAACATGTAGAAATACTCTTCCGTCCAACAGACGAAATAAAAACATGACTGCACCAGGACAGCTGAAAGTTTAAATATTTAAGAAAATAAATACCTTATTACAAAAATGTATTTTATGCAACTTCTTATGTATTACAAGACTTACTGATTGGCATCGTACACTTCAACTTCAACACCACAAACGACACGGGGTTCTCCAATTTTAAGAATATTTAGGTACTTTTTGTCAACTTTGAGCTGGAGATTAACTAAATTTGCTAAAATGAAAGAAAATTAGTTAGAGAAAAAAGGGTCTGCTATTAAAACGTCTTGAGAGTTACTAGATAAATATAAATCTGTTTACCAGTTATTTGACTGCAGAATATTGGAAGGTTAAAATTTTTTTTGAGACCCATAAAGTGGTCAGAATGAAAATGGCTCAAAAAGTAAACTTTTACACCAGCAATCACTCCGTAATTGAATGCATCTACCACAAAAGGTGTATCTATGAAAATTACAGAGACAAAAAAAGAGGTTATTTCATAATACTAACAGGTTTGAACATCACTTCAAGAAAAATACTGGTGCTACGTATGAAACACTACCTGGTATTTTCTTGTACCCCGGCACTTTTTTGTTGGCTGCATTGTAATTTGTATTGTCAGGAACCAGAGTCCATGATGAGCGTGAGGCCTTAGAAACAACCATTGGCACTGGTGTGGGTGCGGACCGGGTTGAGCTTCCCTGAGGTAAACAACAACAATGATTATTATAACTATACTGATTTCCTTTGACGTAAGTCTAAGCATATATAAAACTACTCACAGAGGAATCAGATCTCTTGGAACAGGCAGACTTCAGCAGCGTAAAAGCGTTGACTACTTTGCCTGGCTGTTCACAACTACCTCTGCTTGATGTAGAAGCACTAAAATCTCCACTGGCTGTGTCTTTCATTGAGTTCATCTCATTAATGTTTTCTTCAGATGAAGTTATGGTAATTTGGTTACAATTTTGCAACAGTAAACTTTTTCTTTCAAATGAATCTGTTGTGAGGGCCTGCTCTGGTAGTTGGCGCTTCAAGCCCATGTCTCCCATTGTAGCAAAAAACTTTTCTTCTTGCTTTTTATTTGGGTCCAAATCTGAGTCTCTTGAAATTTGACTATTATTCACACAGCATTCAATGCTCATTAAGTGGCTACATTCACATAGTGATACTTCAATTTTCTGAACTGTGGTACTTGATCTTCCTTTGATTTGAATAGCCTCCCACCCACTACTGTTGACTGCTAGTGTGACTGAGAGAGGGTTTTGGGCCATGGCCTTTCTTTTGTCCACACCAATAGCTTTGATAATGAGAGAACAATTTGCTTGTAACACTTCACTGGGTTCATGAACCGGCGTACAACTCTCTGAGCATGCCATCTGGTTACTGACAAGGTTTTGGTCACTTTCCTTTGATGTATCATAATGGATAACAACATTTGCATTTGTGGCAGAGGAGACTTTAGCATTTTCATCAAGACTATTCTGTGATTCAGGTTCATCTTTAATCCTCAAGGATGAGTTGCCAACAACAGCACAATGCTCATGGCTGAATTCCCCTGCTTTGTCTGGATCTGGACTTAAAACTAGATCACTGCACCACAAGGAAGGCTGCACTAATTCTGAATCCTGTGAGTTTTGCTGCTCGGCTTCATCTGGTTCTTTATTGTCGGAATTAGGAGAAATACTTTCCTGCTCTTTAGGAACACTAGCAACTTTGTGCTCCATGTTGCAATTAGTATTCTGATTCAGCAACTGTTCATTTTTTTCGTCAGATGAACTTGCTGTAGAAGTAATTACTTTATTAAGTCAAGTATTGTGCATAAATCGGAAAACAAATTTACAGCGAACCTAAAGTAACTTACTTTTGGGTGTCTCTGATGCCTTCCTCTTGGTAGCTTGTGATGCTATTGGTGACTTTGCAAGTCGTTTTTTCCCAGATGAGTTTCTCAATGGAGTTGAGTTCTTTGGCTTAGCCTTCTGTGGTGTAAAAATTACATCTGGCTCAATGTATTCTTCAGATACTCGAAAAGCAGCTAGTTTATCATGATTAAAATCTCTATAATGGAACATATTGGAATTCAGACAGAGGTTTCCATCAGGACACTCTGAAATCCAATAAAACATACAGCTGAATAAGAAAACAGAAAATGTTCAAAACAAAACTAACAGATGGACATAACAACAGTACCTTTGCTTTCACGCGAAACACTGCAAGTAGCTGTGTGTGTTGCCGCAGATATTTTAAGAATGTTCAGAGGAACTTGACAGATAGGACAAAAATTTGAAGAAGGGCCTGAAGAATGCATTGAAGATTTGCGTGGGGTTATTTTATCCTCATCAACCAGTTCAGAATCACTCTTCACTCTAATTCTTGGCCTTTCTGTCTGAACTGTGTTGCCTTCCTTTACTTTAGTTTTGGATCGTGTCTTGCATGATGCAGCAACAACATCACTAGAATTGTCTCTCTCTGCAACGGCGGATGTCTTCCTTATTTTGTCTTCAAATGACAGGTTTTTGGAACAAGTCCCGTTTTGCGACCTTTTAGACCGCAAAGTCCTTCGAGGTTTGAAATCATCTTCTTCACTTCCATAGTCATTATTTTCTACGTCATTTGATGATTCATCCACCAGGACGCTTTTATCTGTACTGTTTCTGTTGGTATTACTTTTCTTTCCCATCTTTCATACAGGCATGACCAGCTGCCTGAAACAAAATCATAGAACACGTATGAACAAAAGTGAACAAGGCAAACTTGACATTCTGTGACAATGGAAGAACTCAACAAATAAGGATGAAAACACGAGTAAAACAAACTCATTTCTGACAGAAACTAAAGTGAAGCATCACAAAATACAGAAGAGAGATGCAATAGAGGCATTCGTAGTGCAAGGTGCATTTAACCTATATCAAGACACCCCTGGCTCAGAATGAATAAAGAGTAAGGCGAGCGACAGCAAAAATCTCCCACAAATGCATCTTACAGTGGTCCAGGCCTCCTCGAAGATCACTGAGATATATATCGTGAAATGTTTGTCACAAAATGCAAGTACAGAATGCAGCGACACAAAGCGGCGGGCGGCGGGGGCGGGAAAAACCAAATGACACAAAAGACAAAGGACAATCACAAAACAATCGAGAGAGCGAAGGACTCCTTGGCGCGAAATCCAAAAAGGGTGGCAACGGCCGTCAGCTCAGCTGCTCTGCTGGCTCTGCTATCAACGGCTCCCAGTTTTGTTTTTGTCTATAGTCGACGCCGCTGAGTGACGATCGCGAACTCTAAACTCCAGGCCACGGACTTTGGGTGCACGTGCTCCTTCCGAAAGCAACCAAGCTCGCACTGAAACCCAGGAGCTGGGGCTGCCGGCAAGGGCAAAAGTGACATCGGAGGGAGGGCCTTCAATTTCTCTCCTAGTTTGCACTTTTCGGCAGGCTCTCTGAGTTTGGTTCAAGCCTGCAGAAGAAAAACAACTAAATATCATGCTTCATGCCCTGCTGTAACCGAGAGCGTAGAGTTGCCGCGACTCTGCACCCCTGAGAACCGGAGTTCGAACCGCAATCTGTCCATTTCCCAAAAGGCCTTCCCAGCGCCGTTTGGGCCGTTGGTTCATGGTTGGCCCCGACGACGAAGCAGTCCTGGTGGCGCGTTCCGTCCCCCGACTCGACCCGAGTCCGCGATCTGGCGACCGCGTCGCAGGTGGACTTCCCTACGTGACTGCAGTTGTGGGTGGGGATGGGGGGTGCCGAGAGCCCATGCCAGCATCGGTTGTTTTCGCACGCCGTCCCTCGCCTTTTGGCCTGAAAGATGGTGGCAGCTAGTTTTGTTGCTCAGCACACACACACACACACACACATTCGGCCGTATCCTTTTCAGGCACGCTTGTGTTGCGCTGGAAAGGTGAGGCATCCTCTCTGGCAGGAGAGCCGGGCGGGGCATGGCGGGGCATGGCGGGGCATGGCGGGGCATGGCGTAGCACTCGGCCCAATCACTGTCAGCAGCGGCATTAAATTCCCCCCGAGAAGTGCCGTAACGCCGAAGGTGGAAACGGCGCCCCTAAACTATCTGCAGCGACAGCGAGTCTGTCGGGGTGGAGGCAGGAGGCAGGCAGGAGGCAGGCAGGAGGCAGGCAGGAGGCAGGCAGGAGGCAGGCAGCGCAGCGGCGAGGCGGGCGTGGATTACGGAGGAGGGGCGGAGAGGAGGAACCAGGGACGAAAAAAGGGGAGAAAGTGCAGAAATCAGCTCGGCTGGGCTCGGCTCGGGGGAAGCCATGGGATAATGCCATCAGGAGTAACCCTGTTACAGCCGCCATGCTGTTACCGCCATCGAGGAAACACAAGCAACGCAAGCAACAAAAGCGGCCGCGGCCGTTACGTTGTTGCGATCGCGCCTCGCGCCTCGCTCAAGGCCTCGCTCGCCGAGGGTGAGGCAGACGCAAGACGCAACGCGGGGTTCCGGCGGGTGTGCCCTGCAGGCTGATTCGCTTCGCTCTGGTCCTCTCGCAGGCGACTCGCAGGGGTTTGCGAGGGACGGCGGCGGAACGCTGAGCGGAAACAGTCCAGGGAGCTGCGCAAGGGCAGACGTCGCCAGTACAGGGGCAGGGGCTGCGAGCTGTTCTGAGAAAGGACGCGTTCAGGCAACCGCGCGGGACGAAAAGCCATTCGGAAGCATATCGTCCCCACACAAACTGCGAACCAGCGGCCGTATCATTTCACTCCAAAGTCCGTGTCCGCGTGATGGAGCCGAGTCGGAATGGTTGTTTTCGTTTTCGTTGAAACACTGCATCTAGATGGCACTTTTGTGGTGTGATCGTGTCTGTGGCGGCGCCTGCGACCTTGGCGAGGTGTGGCGGGTGTGGCACAGACCAGTTTGGGCCAGCCGCGGCCAGCCTGCAGGAATCTACGGGGGCAGGCGCGGAGACGGCCCTTGAGGACGAGCTCCTGGTACGGCCGCCCTGCCGCGCCCCGCCGCGCCCTGCCGCCAAATCAGGCTGTCAGGCGGGATGACGGTAAGGCCTTCTGACGCGGGGAAGCCAGCCACGGGCTTGCGGCAACATCGAGCGACGCCGAGCGACACCGAGCGACACCGCGCCTCGCACCGCGCCACAGCTGCGCTGCCAGAACGTCAGCACTTCAGAGTGCCGCACACTGGCGCGCCTTCCCCATTTTATCCTGACTGAAATCTCCCTTTCCAGCGATGTCACAAGCAGTGCCCGTTGCGAGGCAGTGCGGTCCTGCAGGACTATCACCCGGCGACAGGGTATGCCACCCCAGCGTCCTTCATGATGACGCCCGCGCTGTCTGTGTGTGTCTGTGCCGCCCACGGGGCCCGGCCGGCCGGCCCGGCCAGCCCGTTTGCTGCTCCTGCATTGGAAGCTGTCCATCTCCTTGCGGCGGTACAGCCGCCCCCTCCCCCTCCCCCACCTCCCCTCTGCCCACCGGACCTTTTACCCGGACCTCGTCTCTCTCTGTGCCCTTCTATTTCACCTGCGCCCCGCCACCCCGCCAACTGCAGACTGATTCCGAGCTGGTCTCTCTCTGTCGCGCGCTGTTGGGGTGCACCGCCTGGGTGTGAGCGAGACAGACCGACGAGACAGCCGAGCCCCGCGCAGCCCCGCGCCCCCTCAGTCAAGCGGATTGTGGCGATGTTCGCCCTAATTGACGGAGAGCTACCGTGGGGCGTCGCCGTCGTGGAGGCCTTCCCCCAGAAGCTTCCCCCGCCGGCCCCACCAGCCCCGCCGGCCCCGCCAGCCCCGCCGGCCCCGTCAGCCCCGACTGCAGCGAACGGCCCGGCCCCGTCAGCCCCGACTGCAGCGAACGGCCCGGCCTCCTCGGCCAGTCTGGCGGGCACAGCCAGGGGGCAACAGGGCGACAGGGCGTTTGAACAGCGGCCAGCCAGAGGCCAGCCAGAGGCCCAGAGGCAAGGGCCGCGGCGGGCCATCCTGGACAGGGCGACGGGGACGGCCAGAGGGCCCCGGAAATGCACTCCAGGACCTGGACGCCGTGGCGCCCTCGTTGCTTAAGTTGACTGCGGACACCGCGGAGTGTTGGCACACCACCACCATGCGTCTCTTGAACGGCTCCTCCAGCGCCGAGGCAGGGCTGCTTGCCTTCCTGCCCGAGCCCATGGCCAGGACGGACACGTGAGTAACGTGCATGGTGCAAAGCAGTTTTGGCTTGGGCTTGGCTTCACTCGCGTTGAAATTCGTAACCTGGCCGCTGACAGGGGAGGCAAGCAGATGCTGGGATGGAACCACCCGCCGGAGCACATGGGCATGGTGCACGAGCACTGGAGGCAGTACGAGGCCATGAGCATCTACTGGCATCTCGGACTCGCCATGGTCTACACCTTCCTCATGTTCAGCTCACTCATCGGCAACGGGCTCGTGGCGTACGCCTTCTTCACGTGAGTAAGCTTTCGGACACCGGTCCTGCGTGCGCGCGTGCGAGGGAGAGAGTGAGGGAGTGTGCTGCCGCAGGTGCAAGGCCCTGCGCACGCCGTCCAACATCCTGATCGTGAACCAGGTGGGCATGGACATGATGATGTTCGTCAACATCCCGTGGCTCATCGTCAACTCCGTGGCGGGCCACATCGTGGGCTGGGAGACGGGCTGCGACGTGTACGCCTTCTTCGGCGCGGTGGGCGGCATGGGCTCGGCCATGAACAACGCCATCATCGCCTTCGACAGATACAGGTGGGTGTAGGAGTGTGGAGTGGAGGCCAGCCGACGGCCCCGTCCTTGAAGAATCCGTTTGCTGCAGGACGATCGCGTTCCCCATCGACGGCAGGATGTCCGGCAAGCAGACCACGGCCCTGGCCATCTTCGCCTGGCTCTGGGCCCTGCCGTTCTCCATCCTGCCGATGGTGCAGGTCCTGGGCGGCAAATTCGTCCCAGGTAAGTGGCGCGGCCTGGCCTGGCGCGTAAGCGACAGTCTGTCAGCACTGCCGTTTGCCTTTGTCGCGTTGCAGAGGGCTTCCTCACGTCCTGCTCCTTCGACTTCCTCACGGACGGCGACGAGACGCGTTTCTTCATGGCCACCATCTTCACGTGGGCCTACGCCATCCCCGTCACGCTCATCTCCATCTTCTACTCCAAGCTGTTCGGCAAGGTGCGCGAGCACTCGGCCATGCTGGCGGCGCAGGCCAAGAAGATGAACATGAAGAGCCTGCAGAGCAACGCGGACGCCGACAAGGAGTCTGCCGAGATCAAGATCGCCAAGATCGCCTTCACCATCTTCTTCCTCTTCATCGTGGCCTGGACGCCCTACGCCGTGGTGGCGTTCGTCGGCGCCTTTGGGGACCGGTACGGCACGAAGCGCGCGGCACGGAGTCGGCGTCCTTTTGAGAGTAACCACTTCCCCGTCTCTGAGTCCCTCGTGTCCTTGGTCCGTTCCAGATCGCTGTTGAGCCCCGTGACCACCATGCTGCCCGCCATCGCCGCCAAGGTGGTGTCCTGCATCGACCCTTGGATCTACGCGCTCAACCACCCCCGATTCAGGTGAGTGCCGCGCGGTGCCGCGGGAGTGCTCAGCGAGAGTGCCGTGGCATGGCCGTGGCATGGCCGTGCGGACCTCGGACTAACAGACTCGCAATGCTCCCCAGGGCGGAGATCGAGAAGATGGTGCCGTGCCTCAAGGGGCAACCGAAGAAGCCCAAATCCGATGCGGCCAGCGACAGCAAGTCCGTGGCCACGGAGGCGACGGGAGACGCCTCGTAGGGCCCCGCCGCCCCGCCGCGGCTCCGGTGGCGAGGGACGCACGGGGTAGCGACGGCGTGCGGCGCGGCCTCTGGGGTCCGGAGTATGGCGGCGAGCGTGCTGCCAGTGCTGCCGTCTGCTGGACGGATGGCGGGCGCGGCACGCGGCTCGGCCTGGCTCGGCCTGGCCTGGCTCAAGCGCTGCTCCGCTCCGACAACAGGTTCCTGGAAGGGTGTCCACCTCCTGGCCGTCTCCGCCTCGGTCTCCGCCCCCGTGCGCATCTCATGTCACGTGTCTCGCCCCCGCGCCGCCAGGCCGCAAGCTGACCTCGGCACGCTCCAACGCTCTGGACGTCTCAGAAGACGGTGCACGGACTGCGACCCTGCCCGGAACAAAACCTCCCCCGCGTCACCTCACGCTACGTTCTCCTCCAAACTGCAAACACTAAATTTGCGGGGGAACTTCGAGAAGTACCGCGGCGATGACCTACAAGGGCTACAGCGCGCTCGTAGCTGTGCCCGGGGCTATGTACCTTCCGTAAACCGATCTAGTTTCTGACTGGTTCACCCGCAGACAGGAATTTCACCTTTCACCCTCTCGTGTGCCAACCCTGAAGCAAATTAAACGAATGCCACCCGCGGGGCAGGTTTGCCGCTCTGTGTCTTGGGTGGGCCGGGGGCTGTCTAGCGCGCCCACTCGTTCCGTTCCACTCCGAGTCTGTCTGCCCCTTCCCCCTTCCGCACTTGGATCTCAAACACACTATCAGTTTGTTTCTGGGCGAGTTCTTCTGTAACCTACAATCGGTGCTACTAGGCTCACAGCGCGATGACTTTTGTACTTCAGTCCTAGGTCTTTGTGAAGCGATTTTCTTTCGAATCTCATGATTTGCTGTTTTAGAATCATCAGCAGTGTACGAAGCAAGGCACTTTTTTGCAATTTTGCAGCCCTTCAAGTCCCTCGACAAGCCTCTCCGAAAATACTCCCCCGCCCGAGCTTTACCCAGGTTTATAATTGCACTTATATGTGCTCATAAAAAGCAAAAAAAAAAAAAATACTTTTTTTTACTCTGAAAGTTATTACGAGAAAAATTTGTGGGGCGACTGTGCTTTTAGAGCGCTGAGTGGCTGGTGGATGCCGGTGGACTCCGTGCTGTGCTGTCCCCCAGACCGCGGTCTGGAGTGCAACCCGGAGTTCGGTGGCTTCCGTGGGCCACCTGTCGGAAGCAGTCGTTTTGTTTCGATAAATCCCAATTAGAACAAAACAAAAAAAACTTTCTAAATAAACTGCTGGAGTGGGATGTGCACTGCGCTCCCAAACCCGCGCTGCATCAAACCACGTGGCTCTTGGTTCTTTTGGCCGCGCCGTTCTCGTTTTGGCGCGGGCCGCTGGCTGTGCTGCCTGTGCTGCCTGCCGATGGTGGAATCCGCTGTCCATTAGTGCGACGTGCTTGGGTGGCCAGCGCTAGCCAGCGCTAGCCAGAGCATGCTGCTGTTGCGTGAAAGCAGTAATTTAACTTCGTTTCCATCTCTTCCTTTTTTTTTGTACGCTTGTCAAAATTTTCATCTGACCGCTGGTCAACGGGCGTTTTGTAAGTGAAACAACGCCTACGTTGCGGTGCGCCTGGGGTCAGCCCGAGGCCACCGCGCGAGTCCCTGGCCCTGCTAGTCAGGCGTCGTCCGGCGTCGTCCGGCGTCGTCGCGGACCTCCCACCGTCTCGTCAGGCTGTTCCGGCAGCTCCGAAGGACGGCCTGCCATCGGCACGCGACGCGCCACCACGCGTCCTCGCCCCAAGCCGACTGGGGCCACTCGGGACCCGCGACTGGGGCCACTCGGGACCCGCCTGGCAACGCCACTTTTTCTGACTCGATCTCTGTCGACAACTTTGCGCTGAATATGGCTGACGATTTCTGAATCATTCCTGTTAGAACAATAGACATCCACCAAAAATAAATTTGAACTGAGCATGTTGTTCTGGACTTTGATTTCGCCCCTCACGAAGACAGCCTCCCGGGAGACAAGCCGGGCGAGCGCCTGGGAGGTAGGCACGCCGAAGACGCGTGCGTCTCGCCGTGGAGTGGCTGCCTACCCGCCGGGCGCTCGGCAAAACGGACAAGTTTCTCCCTCCCCCTCACCCTTCACCCTTGGCCCTCGTGCCGGGTACGAGTTATCGGACGGCGCCCTCCTGGTAAAAGGGCCGACTCAGCTTCCAGTGGCGGAGGAGGGGGAGGGGAATTCTCTGGGAGACTTATTCCGCCCGCAGCTATGGGCCAAACCACTAACAGTCGCCTGCCAAAACTGTATCGGTCTGGAGCGCGGCTACTTCGCTGCCCCAATGCCTCCGCCGCCCGAGGCGGGGCGGGGCGGGGCGGGGTGAGGCGGGGTGAGGCGGGGCGAGGCGGGACTCTGGCACACTGGCAGTGCGACACTCGGGGACATTTGGCGTCCCTGATTTGGCAAGCCTGGCCAGCGGGCCCTCTAGGCGGCCCGGCCCTCCTCCGCTCCGATGCATCACCGGCCGTACCTGCTGCCGCCCTGCCATGTCGTCATCTCCCACCCCCACCCCCCTGCGCCGCCTCCGCCCCGCACCCAGGACACGCCCGGACATTTGTATTCAAAGCACCTTCGCAGCATGTCCGCCGCGCAGCCCGGCCCAGCCCGGCCTTTCAACGCGATGCCCCGACATAATGTTGAAGTCAAGCCTCGCAGCGGCGCGGCGACGCGGCGGCGCGGCGTACCAGCAGTGTGCACTGCGTGGGTGGCGACGGTGCTTTCCTCTCTGTGCCTCACTGTGCCGCTCACTGCGCGCCTCTCTGTGCCTCACTGTTTCGTGGTTCTACTTAGCGCACGCGTTAGTTGTCCTATTTCCGGTGACGAGGCGACGACAAAGCGCTCTGCCGTCTGCAGCGTCTGCGGGGGCGGCGGGGAGGCGCCGAACCCCCAAACGCAGCAAGCGGGCGCGGCGAGCTCGAACAACTCGAACGGCTCGAACGGGCGGGACGAGGCGAGGCGAGGCGCAGTCAACTTCTCCCTCTTCCTGGTGCGAACAAAAGGCGTGCGGAATAAGAAAGTTGTGCGCAGCGCGGCGGCGCGGGTCACGTGTGGTGCTAGGCCGCCGCGCCACGCCTCACCCCACCCCACCCAACCCCGCCCCGCCCCGCCGCGCCCCGCCCCGCGCCGCGAACCCATTCACTCTCATGGAAATGAACTATGCTGGGGCACGCACCGCGAAAAGTAATTATCACCGCTGCAAAACTTTGCCAGCCAAAACTAGCACGACACGACGGTGAGGGAATTAATAATTGGCTGTCAGTCGGCAGTGGCGGGGCGGGACGTGGCGGGGCAGTCGGCGGGGCGGCCCGGGGCAGGGCGCAGCCAGGCGCAGCACTCACTGGCCCCGCGAGGCCTTTTTGGCGCGTATTATTGGTAGCGCCCCAATGACGGGCTGGGCGGCACCGGGCTGGCTGGCGAACACCACCCCCTGCAGGACCGTTTCGTCGCTGTCTCTGTCGCACTCATGCTGTCCCGTCCACGCAGGAGTGCGAGAGAGACGAGAATGAGGCGGCCGGCGCGCTGGCGCTACATCAGCACCTCGCCGCGAGCGGCCGCGAAGCACCAGGCCAGCGCGGCAGGGCGGCCGAGGCTCGGTGAAGCAGAAGGCACTGGGGCGCCATAACTCTCGCGATGAAATATCAAACTCTTGTCGTTGCCTTCGGGCTTCATCGGCCCTCCGAGAGGCCCTCCGAGAGGCCGGCAGGGCGCGGACGGCGGGAAGGAGGGGGGGGGGCTTCCCGGAAAGGTCACGATCACACCGCATTGCGTGGCGATGCCTTGGCGATGCCCGACTGGGCTCGGCTCCACACACGAATTTGCGTGGCGAAAACACCCGCTGCCTGGTGCCTGCGTTTGCCGCCAAACCGGAGAAGCCATGACTGCCTGAAAAAGGCCTGCCTGAATCAGACTTGCCTGCAGGAACGATGCAGGTCTCTATGCCAACCGCTTGCTGAGCAGGCGTGGCAGGCGTGGGCGCAGGCCAGGCCTCTCTTCCCCCTATCCGGGTGAGCTGTTTCAGCGAATAAGAGGAACGTGATGGGAAATCCAATCAAATGTATACTTTGCCTTTGAAAGCGTTTCCGCCCGCGTGCGTGGCGCGTTTCTTTGACGCGCTGCTGCCAAGGGATATTGGTTGCGATCATGGTATTAGAAAAAAAGAAGTGAATGCAACAGCGATATGACGCCGCATTATTCCCCCGTTAGAGATCAACCAGTCGTGTTCCACGCAACATTGACAGGATCGAGGACAGGATAGATCTAGGTCAGCGGTTCCCAACCTTGGGGTCGCGAAAAAATTTCGAGGGGTCGCGGCGAGGTGGTTGGGGTCGCCTGGGGTCGCGGCTGTTTCCCGGCTGGCAGAATTGTTCAAAACGGTCGAAAATGCCTTTGAAAACTCCTGTTTTAGGCCGACTTTAAGCAGCAACTGCGTCTGATCCAAGGCGGCATTTCGCCCTCCCTTAGCGGGCATTCGGTCTTTGGACCTTCCTTTAGCATGCCTTTGTTACGGAGTGCGATTATCGGCCTTAGTTTGGGAGCAGTATTGTCTCAAAGTGGATCAAAATGGCATTCAAAGGCATTTTTTACTGTTTTCATCAACTTTGAGACAATACTGCTCCCAAATTAAGGCCGATAATCGCACTCCGTAACAAAGGCATGTTAAAGGAAGGTCCAAAGACCAAATGCCCGTCGAGGGAGGACGAAATACCGCATCGGATCAGACGCAAAGGCTGCTTAAAATCAGCCCAAAACACGATTTTTCAAAGACATTTGTGACCGTTTTGATCAACTTTGTGGCAATACTGCTCCCAAACTATGGCAGATAATCACACTCCGTAACAAAGGCATGCTAAAGGAAGGTCCAAAGACCAAATGCCCGTTGAGGGAGGACGAAATACCGCCTCGGATCAGACGCAGTGGCTGCTTAAAGTCGGCCCAAAACACGATTTTTAAAAGACATTTGTGGCCGTTTTGATCAACTTTGCGGCAATACTGCTCCCAAACTAAGGTGGATTATCGCACTTTGTATCAAAGGCATGCTAAAGGAGGGGTCGCGTGGGGTCGCGAAATTTTTCCTGGGGGTCGCGGAAATTTTTTGTTACAAATTTGGGGTCGCGAACCGAAAAAGGTTGGGAACCGCTGGGATAGGTGCCACAATTGTGTGATCATCTGACAGAGCAACGTATCTTCATTGAGAATCCCACGGTAGATACACTGTTATGTACGAATGCCACACAATTTTGCCCCACAAAAGAAGGTATTCTGCGCTTGAAATTTGTGGAAGACATAAATGGATGAGACCGATGACCAGTCAGCCAAGTAAATACGCCAGCACTTCCTCTCCTCCCCCTTTTCCTCCTCCGCCCTCGCCCGCTGCTCTGCACTGACCCCGCGGCCCGGAGCCGGAAATTAACCACTTCGTACACACGGACGCACGGGCACGCCGTTTTTTTATCACCAGCGGACGAGCTCAACCTTGATTCCGGCTTATTACACACGTGCCACTGCGACGCTGTGCGACGCTCTGCGACGCCACTGGACATGATTGCGTCGATTTATGACACGGTGACACTGCGAGGAGGCGGGAGGGGAGGGGGAGGGAGGAGGGAGGAGGGGAAAGGGCCGCGGCCGGCGCCGACCGGCGGTCACTAGGTGCGAACAGAAAACAACCTGCTGGTTTCTTGCTCCCGAGCAATGCTCCAGTTGCACCAAAGGACCAGTCAGTTTGTGTACAGTTAGCTGAGATAGCTGAGGCGAGTCAAAGAATTCAGGACTTACGGATCAACTTCGACCTTGTTTGTAAATCCAAATGTGTACCAATGTGTCATTTACACTGTGGAAAACGCGGGGCCCCAGGTGAAAGGGTCACTCGAATGGACGGGAAGTCGCATGCCCCCTCCACCCACAGCGCACGCTCCGCACGCCCACGCGTCGCCGTGGGGCCGTGGGGCCGTGCGGTCGTCAGGCCCTGGTCAGGCCCTGGTCCGGCCCGGGCCCGGGTCAGGCCGCGAGCCTCGTCCTCATTTGCGGCCCGTCCCAGGCGCACTGCACCAGGCCGCCAGGCTGCCCCGCACCATGCCGATGCACTGACGGCCTCCATGACAGCCATGAGGGTGACGGTGCTGGCCCTGCTGCTCTCGGCGTCCTTCTCCTCGGCGGTGAGTGGAGCCCTCTCTCGGCGTTGGCGCACTGCAAGTCACTGACGTCACTGACGCCCTGCTTGTCCTTGCCGTTGCAGGTGGCCGCGGCCTTGAAGCGCGACACGCAGCCAGGTAGGTACTTTTGAAAAACAGCCTCAGTTAGATTCCAGTTGCCCGGCTGAGGCACCACGAGTCGTTTCATTTGAGTGGCCCAACTTTCTGTGCTAGATGGCGCTGCTGCCGGGGCCCTTGCGACGAGAGCGGCGCGCTCCGCAGAAGGTGAGGCAGGTCATGAGGGGGGCGCGTGGCGCCCGCGCAGAGCGCGCAGAGGGGTGGACGTGAGCCTGCCGGGCCTGCCTGGCGGCTCCGCGGGAGGACTCGGCGACATCGGCAAAAAGATCGGCGGCATGTTCGGAGGGGCGGCGGGGGGCGGGGGAGGCATCGGGGATGTCGGCAAGAAGATAGGCGATGCTCTGGGAGGAGGCATGGCGGGTCGGGCGTCTGGAGGAGGCTCGGGACTTGGCGGCATCGGAGACATAGGGAAGAGGATAAGGGGTATGCTCGGCGGAGGAAGTGGTGGCGGCGGTGGCGGCGTAGGCGACGTCGGAAAAAGAATCGGGGGTATGCTGGGTGGAGGTGGCGGTGGCGGAAGCGTTGGGGGAGGTGGTGGCGTAGGCGACATCGGGAAAAGAATCGGGGGTATGCTCGGCGGAGGCGGAGGCGGCGTGGGCGATCTCGGTAAACGGATGAGGGGCATGTTCGGCAACGTGTCCGTAGGTTCCGGGGGCATGACCGGTGGCCTGGGTGGCATTGGAGACATTGGAAAAAGAATTGGGGGTATGTTCGGCGGAGGAGGTAGCGTCGGTGGAAGCGGCCGAGGAGGTGATGGCGTAGGAGACATTGGAAAAAGAATCGGGGGTATGATGGGCGGAGGAGGTGTTGGTGGCCTTGGCGACCTTGGCAAAAGAGTCAGGGGCATGTTCGGCAACGTGTCCGTAGGTTCCGGGGGCATGACCGGGGGCCTTGGTGGCATTGGCGACATCGGCAAAAGAATCGGTGGCATGATGGGAGGCGGGGCCGGCGGAATCGGGGACCTGGGTAAACGAGTTAGGGGCATGTTCGGTAATGGGTCCTTGGGTGGTGGTATGGGTGGCGGACTGGGCGGTGTGGGAGACATCGGCAAGAGGATCGGGGGCATGTTTGGCGCAGGAGGGCCATCGGGGGGTAGCAACATTGGTAGGGGTATGCCAAGAGGATCGCCCCGGGCGATGGAGGGCTCCTGGGGTGCAGGTTCTATGGGAGGGTCCATGCGCCCACTGCCAGGGGGCTCCATGGAAGGGCCCTCCATGGGTGGACTGGGCGACATCGGCAAAAGGCTCGGCGGCATGTTTGGCGGTTCGTCGGGCAGCACCGCGGGCGGGGTCTCCATTGACAGACCAAGTCCCATGCCTGGTTTTCCGGGGACACGCGGCTCGTCAGGCGGTCCGTCGTTTTCTTTCGGCGGCAGCGACGGCAGGCCGCACCAGCGGGGAGGAGGCCACGGTGGCCACGGTGTCCAGGGCGGCCAGTGGGCGGCGCCGGGAGGCAACTTCTCCTTCCGACTGCCTCAGGCGGGCGGCTCCGCGTCCGGCGGCCTCGGCGGCGGCGTCATCGGGGGCATGATCGGCGGGGCGGTGGCGGCGATGGGGGGCGTCCTCGCCGCGGGGAAGGGCATGGTGGGCGGCATTCTGCGCGGGCCTGGGGCGCCGCCAGGCGTGGGCCTGAACGCGACTGCGGGGAGGATGCCCCCTGCCACAGGTGAGTTCGACGGGCCGGACGGGCCGGACGGGCCGCTGCCTGGAGGCGGACGCTGGGGACAGGCACCTGTGGAGGAGCACGGCACCATTAATTGGGCCGCGACTGGGGGGTGGGCAGGGCGCGGAGGCGGCGGTCTGGACGGCGGTCTGGACGGCGGGCTGGACGGCGGCGGGGAGGGCGCGGTCTTGGAAGGTGAAGTCGGGGTCGATGTGCTGGAGAAGAAAATGAGAGCGCGTTCAGAGCACACAGGCCGAGCTGGGCACGGTGCGATGGGCGGTGAACATTTTGACATGGGAGTCAGACCGCAAATTCCTTCCCTCGGACGCCGGCGTCCCGACGGGTCGCGCATCCAGTGGAATGCGGACGCTGGCGCCGACAGGGACGCGGGCGGTTACGGCGGTCCGGAGGGCGGCCGGGACGGGGACCTTGGCAACGCCAAGCCGTCTTCCGACGCCGGTTGGCGCGCAGGGCTTGGGGGAGAGATGGAGGAAGACGGAAATTTGGGGGTAACGGTGGGCGACGTGGAAGGCGCCTCGGGCTTCATCGCTGGCGCCGTGAGCGCACCTCCTCGCGGCCCGAGCGGGGGGCGGGGAGGGGCGGGGTGGGGAGTGGCGGGGCGGGGCGAGGCGGGGCGGGCTGAGGCGGGGCGTGGCGGGGCGGGGACCGGGGGCGGCGATGCGGCATCGGCCGTGATTACAGTGCCTGATCGAAACAGGCAGGGTGGCGTGGCGGGCGACGCGCCTTCGCGTGCTGAGTGGCGCGCGATCAACGACGAGATGTACGACATCAACTTGCGCAAGGGCCGGCCGGCCGGCGTTGAGGTCGCGGACGAGGCTGGAAGGTGGCGGGCGCTCGGCAGGCACCGACGAAGTGTCGGGGGGGACCAGGCAGGACTAGGCGACCCTCATGCCCCTCATGACCGCCAGGGGGAGCGCAGGGAGGAGGGGCCCGACGACGGCACGCCCGGCACGCCCGGCACGGACACACACCAGAGTAAGGGTCATCCACGCAGCGGTCGCGCTCTCGCATTACAAGAGTTTGCTCCTCGCTTGAAATCCGACCGCGCGACCGCGCCGGGACACCATGGCCTGCTGCTTGGCGGTCAGCCTGCACGCTTCACGATACTATCTTGTTTCAGAAGGCTCAGAAGGTGCCGAGCAGGACGAGCTGGAGGTGGCGGAGACCGCCAAGGAGAACCATTTGGGGGAGGGGTTGTCGGGCGAGGCCGAAGACGACGGCCTGAGCAACGCGACGCACGTGCATCGGCCGCACCTCGGGCCACACGTCCACGGCCACGACGGCAAGGCTGGTTGCTACGGCTACCGCTACCCCGTCGTCATCTACGTGACCACCACCACCGAGAGCAGCGACGACGGACAGAGCGAGCAGCTTCGCAGCAGGCGGCCAGCCCGGTCAAGGATGCGGATGCGCGGCAGGCGAGCCGCTGCGGAACGCCTGGGCCTCGGCCTGGCCAGTACGTCGCCTTCCTCGGCAGCAGTCGATCAGGATCAGGGCGACCGTGACGGGGAGGCCGCGGTGCAGGGCGGGCAGCTAGCCGCGGCCAACCCGCTGTACAAGTCCATCACCGACGTAGAGTTCAACGACCTGGACCACGCCAAGCTGGAGGCCTTGCTGGACGACGACGGCACGGCGCGCGTGCGGCGCGACACGGCCCCCGACGTCGAGGACGTCGATGTGGAGGCCGTGACGAAGAGCAGCATCCTGGACTACTCGATCCGCGACCTAGTCAAGCGTTGCGTGGACTCTATCGTGGGTGTTGCGCGAGGTGGGGGTGGTGGAGGCAACGGCGCCGGCGTCACCATCGCCAAGGAGGGCATCAGCCTCGGCAGGACCGCCATCGACGGAGGCGTGCAGGTGGCGAAGATGATCGTGCAGGCCTTCCGGGACCTCGGAACGACTTCCAGCCTCGTCGGCGACGTGCAGCCCCTGGACAGTGTCGTCCTGGACGATGGCGCGAGCCGTCAGCGGCGGGACGCCATCACCAACATCAAGAAGAACCTGAAGACCAAGGGCGAGGTCCTCATGTCGCGCGGCAACGACGTCGGGGAGAAGATAAACGACCGCATGGACAACATGTTCGGCGAGAGCAAGCTGTACCAGAAGGTCAAGGAGATGATCATGACGGCCATGGGGAAGGCCGTGCAGACCGCCGCGTCGGCGGCCACCAGTTCCAGCAGGCGGCGTCGCGACACCGCTGGGGCCGTCGAGCCCGCCCAGGGCGAGGCGCCGGGCATCCCGCGGGGCACCCCGCGGCCCAGGAAGGGCAAGGAGGCCATCCTGGCGCGCGTCCTGGCCGACCTGGACAACATCCCCGGCAGGCGCATTGCCAAGCTGGTGGTCAGCAAAGCCAGCAAACGCGAGGACGTCCAGGACGGCGACGAGGAACGTGCCAGGCCCGAGGACGCAGAGGGAGAGGCGGCGGACATGCTGATGTCGAAACGGTCTCGGCGCGCCACTCCGACCACGACGACGGAGGCGTCATCCGAGGAGGACGACGACGAAGAGACCAGCACGGACGACAACGCGACCCGCGAGGTAGACGAACGGCCGGCGCTGTCCACGGAAGCGCCCAAGAGGGACATCGGCGCGGAGCTGGGAGTGAGGAGGCGCCGCGACGCCGTGCTCGTCAAGAGGGACGTCGCGGAGGACGTGCGCAATATCACGGACCGGATCGTGCAGAGAGGCAAAGAAATGGTGGCCAAGGTGAAGCAGGCCATCGACGAGGTGGTGAAAAAGATCCAGGCGGGCAGGGCCCAGACGCCTGGCGCTGCGGGCGCTGCGGGCGCTGCGGGCGGTGCTGGCGCAGCACCGGAAGCTCAGGGAAAGGCAAGCATGCCGACTGACATGACTGCACCCGTGCCGCAGACTCCGCAGACGGCACCCGAAGCAGCCGGGACGACCGTGGATAAACCTGAGCCCGAAATGCCTTCAGACAACGCCTCCATGGAGGACGTCGAGGAGAAACCTGCCGCCAGACGCCGAAGGGACACCGCCGCCCTGCGCCTCGGCCTTGGCCGCGTGCAGTGGCTGCTGGGGATGCCGAACAAGGTGCTTCCGAACAAGGGAGGCAGCGACGTCGCGCCCCTCGCCACATTCGGCCCCGATGGAAAGTATGTGCCAATCGAAGAGCCTTCGGAGGAAGACGATTCGAGCGCGGAGGAAACTTCGACGGAAGACCCGAAGTACACGCCCAGTGTAAGTGCAACACTGCAGCGTACTGCAGGTACCTCGCAACCATCAGCATGGAGCTCTCATCTAACGCACGTCTGTTTTGTCTTTCAGGGGAGTCTCAACTTCGTCGAGTAGGAAGGCCCAGGCAGGTCCCACCGAGGCGCCCACCGAGGGCAGGGCGGTGCCTTCGAAAGCGGCACGCCGCGGAGGCTACCCCTGCGACGAACCTGTTGTCTGGAAAAATTGGAACAGATAAAAGCAAAGCCAGAAAATAAAACGATAATAAAAATAAATATCGTGCTGTCTACTTGGACAAAATCTTTTCAGGCTAAACAGATGAAAAACACTCCATTTCGTGGATTGTGTGCGCTCCCTGCTCGATTGCAAAGACATTCATTGAAATTTGGGCCAATTTTGCGGGGGCCCAACGATGTGCGCAGGTTTGCCTCGCGGGGCAGTGTCCGTGACGGTGGCGCGCTGCAGGCTGCAGGACGAGAGGCGGCGCAGCGCGCGCAGCGGACCGGCAACCGATTGCCATTCTTTCGCCGCTGCCGCCGCTGCCGCCGCCAATCAAAGAGGAAAGGAAAACGCGCCGGACGCGAGGCTGACGAGCTGAGTCGGCTGCCCCCGCCCCGCCCCGCCCCGCGCCGCCCCCGCTCCCGCTCCACACCCTTGCCCCCGCCCCCCGTTTGATCGCCAAGTGGATGCTAATCAGCCTGATTCCCTTACCCGCGGCCGCGCCTTTGCCGGGGCCGTTCGCGGTACGCCTTTCTTTCGCTGGGCAGGACCGCACAGTGGGCCAGAAGACCGGTGGAGGCGGTCAAAACTCTAGACGCGTTTTGAGCTGCAGAGTCGATAAACAGGGCTCAAACCAAACATGTGACCCCACCAATGAATTGCTCTCCGAACGAGGAATCCATTATTGGTGGGGTCACTCGGTTGGTTCGAGACCTGTTTAGCGACTCTGGAGCTCAAAACGCGTCTAGAGTTTTGGGGCCGCCTCCACCGGTCTTCTGGCAAATCCACTGAGCGGCCGCTGCAGGACTGCCTTCCGGCCGGACCGAGGCGCTCTTGCGCGGCTCCGTCCGTGATGACATTCGCGCGCAACTAAGCCTCTCGCAGCTGGTGTGTTGGTTTGTCGTGGCCGCTGACGAGGGGTCGGACGTCCCCTGGACGTCCCCTGTGTGACAACTCCAGCGCGGCGATGACGCAGCCTGTCGGAATTGTTTCGGGAAAGCGTGGCTTGGTTTGGGCTCGGCTCAAGCGGAGGGAGACACGCCGGGAATGTGCTGCCTCAGTTTTTCCCCGAAGCTGGGCGATGTGGTGGGCGGGGAGTGGTGGGCGAGGTGGTTGGCGAGGAGGTGGGCGGAGCAGGAGAAGATAAGTTTGTCCGGACAGCTGTGGGTGGGCGAGGCGACGCGTGGGAACGCGGGGTCTGGCCGCCATCCGTCTGATTCACGCGTCAGGCGACAATTGGCCCATTGGCCCGGCTGCGCCTGGGCTGCGCGGCTCAAAGACTCCCTCCTTGTTTTGGCCCCCCTCTTTCCGTCTTACCCTTTCGGCCGCCGGAAACTAACGCCACTTTCCCGCGCCGCGCGACACGCCAAAAACCACGGACCGATTAAACCATTATTCAAATGAGCACATGCAGCGCGCGCGGCGACCGCCGTCGAACAGAAAATAGCTGCAATTTGCGGTAATTTCCGATAAACGGAGCAGTGGTCTGCGCCCCCTTTTTTGATACCACGCCGCCGTTCACCCCGCCTCGCGCGCCTCGCTCGCAGGGTGGCATTTCTTTTATTTGCCCCAAAGACCTATTTCGGCGGGCCAGCGGGTCTGGCTGGATTCATATGAGCCCACACTGTTTGCGCTCGCCTCACCTGGAGACTAGGCCTGCCGGCGCTGAGGCGAGGCGAGGCGACGCGCGCCCTCGGCGAGGAGATACTCGCAGACAAAATTCGAATCCTATAGGATTCCTGTATATAAGATCCTATAAGATCCTTCCTGCTGCTGCGGCCACCTCCCCGAGTCTCGCCTAGTCTTCCTCAGCCTCTCCTAGCCTCGCCTCTCCTAGCCTCGTCCAGCCTCCCCTACGCACGGCCGACGCGTGGGGGAAGGCGCGCCTGGGCGCGCCCCACCCTCCATCGCGTCGACCCGCGGCGCCGCACGGCGCACCTCCTCCGGCCATGCCACCCTGGCACTGGAAATATGAAAAATATGCGAGGCAAATCATATACGCCGCACGACCAAGGGCGAAAAATTACAACGCAATTTTTCCGAAGTTTTCTTAAGGGTGCTGTAATGTTTGCGATGATAGGGCCTTTTTTTACACCGCTCCTGCTGCTCTTACTGTTCGTGTCTTGGGTGTTTCAACCTCAGCCACTGTTCCAGCACAGGACACTCAAGTCCTTCCCCCTCCCACGAAAAGTACATTCAGTGTATACACTTCATCACTTCCCCTCTTTCCCGGTGACGTTGTCCTCCCTGCGCGCTCGGCGCCGAGATAAGACTCCTAATCTGTCAAGTCGCCTTAAAGAGGAAAAGTGCAAAAGAAGCTGGTGGCGCCTCGCGACGAGCCTAGCGTAGCCTGGCGAGGCCGCCGCGGAGGGCAATGAAGTGAGCGGCATGAACGTCGTGTTAAAACGCGCGTTTTGCGGCGCGGCCGCCGCTTTTCATCCCTCCCCTCGGCGCTTTTTCATCGTCCCTGCTTCGACGCGACTGGCCGTCCGATGCGGTGCGGTGGCAGGGCCGGTGGCAGGGCCGGTGGCAGGGCCGGTGGCAGGGCCGGTGGCAGGGCCGGTGGCAGGGCCGGTGGCAGGGCCGGTGGCAGGATCGCCGGGGCAAAAGCAGTAGTACCTTGGATGCCGAGGACAGGCAGCTCATGCAAAATGGACCCATTTTCCTGCCCCCGCCGGTTGGCCGGGGTTGGCCGGGTATCCCCTGGCACTGCCTTCGCCGTACAGCGTCTCTCTCCTCCCCCTCCTCCCACGGTGACATCTGCGGAGGCGCGTCCTGGCCGTGAGGCTACCCTGCTACCCACGATTACCCTTCATTTAGAGGCACAGCGGCCAGCAGAGCGGTGCCGGCGGGAAGGGCAAACCATAGAACTGCGATCCGAGAAACTTTTGATTCCAGAGAATCGGCTTCAGTGTAATTCCTCTGGCGAAGAATCTTAAAAAAGTTTTCACAGTACGGCGCGCCGTTGTATTCTATCGCACCAACAGACTACCAACGCACTAATTTATGAAAGCTTCAATTTAACTTAAACTAAATATTTGGATCTTACTGACTCATGGGGGAGAGCTTCGGTTTGCATTCCATTTCTTCCCTCGCCACCCGAGTCTCGGGTGGCGCCCCGCTCGCAGGTGTGTGCGTGGCGGCGTGGCGGGGACGGGCGCGTTTCGCGCGTGTTCTCGGTTCGCTCGGTGCACGTCGCCCCGCCCCGCCTCGCCCCACCCCACCCCACCCCGCCCCGCTACACCACGCCACATCACACCACGTCCTGGTCCGGTCCACCCGGCCGTAGCACGCGCCGCCTAACTAGGGTGGCAAACCGGCTAGGCTCCAGGCTGCGGGCCTGCGGGCCTAGGTGCTGGGGGCCTTGCCGGGCCATGCCGGGCCTCGCCTTGGAAGATGTAGGCAAACATTGAAATACAGGTCCCACCCTCCCCGCCACAAACGGTGTTTGGATTCGGGGCTGGATTGGCGGCGGTGGCGTGCGTGGGCCGGAGAGAGAGATGGTGAGATAGAGGGGAGGGAGGCACATCTCAACACAGCCATCAACACGGAACAGCCCATGCCCATGTCCGACGCGTCTCAGAAATAGGCACGCCGGCACGCTGCTGTGGGTGGGCAGCCACTGCTACCGATCGCTACGCGGGAACAGACAGCTAAAAAAACATCAAGGTTCAGGGAATGTTGCAGCCGGTTGCAGCGACCGGTAGTTCGGCCGGTAGTTCCCGACTGGCAAACTTGGCAAATTTCTACGGTGGCTCGGGAGATGACAAGGAGGGATTCTACAGTGCTTGCTTTATTTAGCGCACTTCGGCATGTTGGACATCCCGCCAGTCCAGCAGGACTCTTTTCCTGGCGTGTCGGCGAGAGACTGCGATTAAATTTAGATGGCTGCCGGTATTGGAGTTTAGCCGTGATTACATCTGATTATCGCTTGCCGAGTCGCTTGCTCGGTGCGCTCGGTTGCACCGCCAGCCCGCGCCAAGCCGCCCCGCCTGACTAGCGGTAAGTGTGACGAACGACGTGCCCGCGTCCCACAGAGGCCCGTGCGGCGCCTGTACACGGCGGATGTGCAGACGGAGCGCGCTGGAGTGCACGCCGGGCCGGGGCGGGGCGGACGCGTACTTCCAAAGTTTCGCCGACATACATCACGGCGGAGTCATAACTTTGAGGATATACGGTGCGGCCAAATTATTCGCGGTGCTCTTTGAATAATGACGCGGGCATTCGTCTGCGGCGGGGCGGGGCGGGGCGGGCGGGGCGGGGCGAGGCGGGGCGGGGCGGGGCGGGGCGGGCTGCGGCGGTGCGACGTCACTTCGGCGTGGTCTAGCCTTTCAAGGTAAGTCAAGTGCAACGCATGATGCCCAGTGTGACGCACTGCGTGCCAGAAACCAGGGTGGTCATGAGCGTCACACACGTCTGGAGTTGTGCTTGAGTCGGACTCGAGTCGAACACGCGACGGTCTTGTAAGGGTTCTCGCTTAGAACCCTCTGAGGACTGTAGAGCTCGAAGGGTCCCGCCCTCTGCGCCCTCCAGTCCTCGGCGCGGCCGGCCCGCCCTGTGCGACGTAGGGGGAAGAGCGATGTGCGGCCCGATCGGCCGTCCGGCTGCACACTGCGCGTCGCTGCGCGTCGGGCACGCAAACGCAACAAGCTGCGGCGCGCGGGCCTCAGCCTCAGCCTCGCGGGTTCGGGGTTGCAGTGCGGCGGGCCGCGTTCCTCGCGCGCAGCGTACATCGCATTCCACGCCAACAAGGCGAAACTATCCCCGCGGCCTCGAGCGAGGCCTCCCTCGGGGCTGCTGCGGGCCGGCGGCTCGCGAGAGCGCCGCGTTCAGCTAAACCAGCCAAACCAAGTATCGGCGAGCACCACCGCGATGAATGCGAGTCTTTGCCTCCAACATTCCGTCGGTCACACAGTCCGCCCCGTCCCGCCTTGCCTCGCCCCGCCCCGCCCCGCCCCGCCCCGCCCCGCCCCGCCCCACCCCACCCCGCCCCGCCGGCCCACCTAGGGTTATTAACAGCCCGGTCTCAAGGCCCCCTTAACGACCTGCCCGGCCT